AAGCCTCATTTTTGAGATCGCTGAGATGGTGTTCAGCGTGCACGAGATGAATCCGTGCACGAGGTGCACAGACACGTTATGGTCCTGCGACGTTGCAAGATGTCCCAAACTGGAAACTTGCAAAATCGAACGCACCGAAAGCCGGCATACCCATGTACAACTCTTCCAAAGAAGGCAGGGAAAATATTGCATAGAAAGACTCGCGGTGTCTTGCTGACAACCCCATCTGTCCAAAAACAGACGCCAACCGCCAATGTTACATCCGCCAGCTTCTTACTGCAATCAATAATATCAGAAACACTATTGGCGCTCATGGCCTCTTCTTCAAAGGGTGTTGAGTTGATCCCAATATAGGACGCTCAAATTACTATACTCACTTTGGAAGCAAGCATCATGCTGGCTCATTGTTCATAGACCGAGAGCTTATTCCTGGTCCTATCGATACTTTCATTTCTCCTGAACCCGAGTCCTGGAGCACTGTGAAGCGTACGCGTCATGATAGGTTTGTAGAATGAATAGAGAAAATTGCTAAGCCGTTGGGAATCTCCGAGATCGAGTGTAGCGCATTATCTGGAGGTTGCAGTTTCTACCTCGTGGTAGCAGACTCGGGTCAGAAGTTGTGCGTGACTGTAGGGAATGTAAAGCAGAATGAGAAAAAAAGGGCAATTTTTGAGGGAGGTAGGAGTAAAGCGAGGTAGAAGAAGAAGAAGGGCAAGCCTCATGCGTGAGAGTGATGAATGATTATTGTCCTCGTAATGCTTGTAAGCAGATAACAGATAGTCAATATTGCTCAGCCAAGAGTATAGGGGTATAGCAATGCGTGGTAATGTGGGAGTGACGACTCCGTCACAATGATTCTATAGGGTGGGTTGAATGAAGTGGGCTCCGTAAGCATGTTTTCGGTCCTTTTGGGCCGTGGTTTCCGAATTGCTCCTTGGTGAATATATGCCAAGGTAGTCGGAGTCGGATGGGGTCGAACGTGTCTCCAGGAACATCAAATCACCATGACACACTACTATACGCCGGTCAATGAGCCACATTCTTGGTAGTAGTTCAATGGCTTTGATCCAATCGTTCGACCCTCGGGTTTTCCCGATATGTGTTAATGGCCTCATTGTGTGGCGCAACGCCGGTGATGGGCTGGACAGATATCGCCCAGAAGAAGAGATATCGGAATGCGTGCAGACAAATGCCTGTCGGATGCAGGCGTACAGCCGCACAGAATTGCGGCCGCGGTCAGAAAGGATCGGCACGTTTGACAAAAGGCAAAACCGTGGCATAGATACATATGCAGGGTGAAGAACTATCGGGTAGATTCGCGGGCCATGTGATTGGTTTCCGTTTCAGGATCCATAGTCGGCATGTTTGCCGCCCCCATGTTACCCACTCTGCCTAGAATCTTGGAACTATAGGTGGGTGTGTTAACGGCTAACGCTGGGATTAGGGTTTGACTATGGAATTTGTGGTATTAGGTCCTTCTGTTTTGGGCCAGCACGCGTTGATACGCCTTCCGGTGAAACCTTTTGGGCGGGGTCGGTCGTCTATCTGGCTTGCAGTGTTTCTACCGACCAGGTAAAGCTGTTTGCGGGACATGTTCTGTGTCCAAAATAAACGTGGATGAAGGATCAGGGGCCAGGTCAGCACGTGCAATGGAGGGGCCTGCCTCTAGCCGTTGGTATGACCAAGTAAGCCACAGGGCTCCGGGATCGGATGATGGTTGTGGGGTCTTTCAACAGCGCTCGGTAGACCGATGCGAGCAAGACGGATGATACTGAAGGGAGGAGGCTGGGATCGGCATATGATGTTGGTGTGATGGTGCAAAGGATTGGGCACGAGAGAGGTGGGCGCCTTGCCTCATCCAAACGTTTTCGCCGCTGCCGTCATGTACCACGTACGCGATTCCTAATGCCGTTCCCCAGCATGCACGATTCATTGTCGGCGTTTGTGCACGCAGCAAGAAACCAGATCAGACCATATCCCGCACACCTATACAGCCAAGGCTCTTTGCCTCCCCACCTGGAGAGCGCAAAAACTTCGACAGTGCAAGGCCCGCAACCCACTCGACTGGGCTTTGGAGCAGCGCTGGAGGGGCCATGTGACGTTCAAAAGTCCCGGCTCCCAGGATGCGACGGAGTTGTGTGTCCACACACACCGCCAGCGGTACGTTGGGCGTGCTCTACAAGGGAGAGGGAAAGGGAGAATCGCTAGACGTTGCTCAGACGCGGTCGGACAGGCCGCCCAACGAACGATGGGCGTCGAAAGAAGCCCACTCAAGAAGGCTCGGCTGACGGGGAGGCATCTTGGCTGTCGCATACGCCGCTCCCCATCTTGGCCTCAACGAGGTGGTGAAAGCTTCGGCGCTGGCGGCGGCACGGCTTGACTGCGGGGTTTGCTCGCCAAGTTTTGTGGCTGCTTCACCGGCCTGAAGCTTCTTTGTGAAAAGAGAATGGCGACAAGCCTCCGCGGCGCCATGAGAGCTTGTGTGGGCTCAAGCATCCAAAGTGTCTTTTCTTTGCCGTGGTCGGGCCTGGTGTTGTTGTTGTTGGTGTTGTTGCGACGTTCTGGCTCCAGTATGGCTGTGCTTGCAGCTGTCCCGCAAAGTTACCACCGTGCGGGAGACGCGAAGGAAAAAGTCCCCCGTGGGGAAAAAGACAACGGCGTCTGGCGTGGTGAAGATCAGCACACCCACCCACTTGTTTTTCTCCGCGCCGTCTTGACAGTCTTTGCACACTGACGATGAGATCCCGGAACAGTGTCTGTTCCCTCACTCGCGCTGGTGCTGTCGCCGGGCCCACCTGGATTGCTTAGCGCGGTATGGTGTGCTTGGCATCCCCGACGCGGTTACATGCACTGACTATCCCCCAACAACCACTGCACACGCGGTCTTGGCTTTTCTTGGCCCGTATCAAGGTCCAGCGGCTGACTGACCAGGGCATCGATAGCACCGTTGCGAGCCCATACAGGTGCAGTGGTGCTGCAAGAGACTCCCCCAAAAAAGTATATATTGACTTCCCCGCGTCCAGTCATGGGGCTATCACTCCGATCGGACTCGTGCCTACTATTAAAAGGCAGTCCTCCCCTTCTCCCACTGCCTTGAAATCCACCCTAGAGTGTCCTCTGTCCTCTACATCATGGCGACCGCAAACCGTCCTGCTGACCCGCTGGCCAAGGGCGTCATCCCCACTGCCAAACAGAGCTTGAAGGACCTCTTCACCTGGGACCAGCGCATAGTCGTCACAAACGACTATGGCGAGGAGCACTGCGAGTGGCAGAGGCCAGAGCCTCTCAAGAACCCCATCAGCCTCTTTGCCCAGCTTGGCTGGAAGGACTGGCTGTACTTCCTCGTTGGATTCCTTGCCTGGACAGCTGATGCTTTCGACTTCCACGCTCTGTCTATCCAGACCACCAAGCTCGCCAAATACTACGACACAACCAACACTGCCATCACAACTGCCATCACCTTGACGCTGCTCCTCCGCTCTGTCGGCGCTGCCATGTTCGGTGTTGCCGGAGACAAGTTTGGTCGCAAGTGGCCCATGGTCCTTAACATGATCATTCTCGGTCTCCTCCAGGTCGCTACCATCTACGCCGGTACCTTCCAGCAGTTTTTGGCTGTCCGCAGTCTGTTCGGTCTCTTCATGGGAGGTGTCTACGGAAACGCCATCTCCATGGCCCTTGAGAACTGCCCGTAAGTTTAGACCGATATTCGTATACGCTTCAAACGCTAACTTTTTCAGTCTTGATGCTCGTGGTCTTATGAGCGGTATCCTTCAGCAGGGATACTCATTCGGTTATGTCCTTGCCGCCTGTGCCAACTTGGGTGTCGGAGGCGAGACCAACACCTGGAAGATTGTCTTCTGGGCCGGTGCCGGTTTCTCCATTGCCGTCGGTTTTGTCCGCGTCCTCTTCCCTGAGTCGAAGCAATTCCTGGAGGCCAAGCGATCCGGCAACAAGAAGGCCCCCGGCGCTTTCTGGGCTGAGACTAAGCTTATGCTCAAGAAGGAGTGGAAGATGTGCATTTACTGCATCATCCTCATGACTTGGTTCAACTACTACTCCCACACCAGCCAGGACAGCTACACCACCTTCATGAAGGAGCAGAAGCACCTCAGCGCCGCCGGTGCTACCCGCGCTTCCATTCTCATGAAGACCGGTGCCTGCGTTGGCGGTACTATCCTCGGATACACCTCCCAATGGTTCGGTCGCCGCCGAATGATTGTCTGCGCCGTCTTGATCTCCGGATGTCTCATCCCAGCCTGGATCCTCCCCACCACCGAGCGCGGCCTCTCAGCCTCCGGCTTCATGATCCAGTTCTTCGTCCAGGGCGCCTGGGGTGTCATTCCCATCCACCTTAGCGAACTTTCACCCCCTGCCTTCCGTTCCTCTTTCGTCGGTATCACCTACCAACTCGGAAACATGATCTCCTCGCCTTCTGCTCAGATCGTCAACGCCGTTGCCGAAGCCACCATCATCACGACCGCAAAGGGCGAGCCATCCCCTGCCTACGGCCCCGTCATGGGCGTCGCGACTGCCATCATCGTTCTTGGCATTGCCGTTACTACAGCTCTCGGCCCCGAGAAGAAGGGCCGCCACTTTGAAGAGGCCGGTCCTATCGGTGCTAACATCACGGCTCCCAAGGATATCGAGTCTGGCAGCATTCACAGCGAGAAGAACGGCGCAAAGGCCGTCGAGGTCATTGAAAACTCGGAGAAGAACGAGAAGATTTGAATAGGTTAATCGCGCTATGTATGTGTGACGGGTTTCCACAAACGTACTTTGATACCACTCGTCCGGTCACTGGAAGGACCGGAAGATATTATATGACTATCTAACGACTACAATACAAAAATTATTTGAAAATATCAAACTTGCCTTTGTTTTCCTCGTCAATTATACACTTGTGAAAGCAGCATCCCATACATACATATATACCTCCCTACCCTTCACCGTATTCCGTCTCTCATCTGCTTTCGAAATTTTCATCTCACATACTTACATATCGCAACTACCGTCCGCCAAGCGCCATCACCCCCCCTGCCCACAAACTCTCTCTCGCACTCGCGCCCACCCTAGCCCACCGCAACCCAACCTCCCCCGGTGGAGCAGAGCCGCAACAAAAAAAAACCCCTCCCCCTCGGAGTCCTCCAAAATCGCCAAGCGATGCACGTGCGGACTTGGTTGTGGAGTCTTGAATCCTTTGCGCATCGTGGCCTGATGCGAGCTTGCTGAGCGCGCAGCGCGAGCTCTGAGCTGTGGGTGCGAGCGAGGCTCTGCGGGTCTCGGGGTTCATTTGCACAGTTGGGTCCCACTTCACACACACCCCCCCCCCCGATGAATAGTGTAAGCATAGTGGGGGTGTGTGTGTGTGTGTATCTGTGTGGCCTAGGGAGGGGGGTAATCTGGATTGGGTATCCCGGGCTCGAGGCGAGGGATTTCGCGGTCTGGATTCGGTCTTTTTTTCTTTCTTCACTTTTGGGATTTTTTTTTTCGTGGGGGTCTGCGGAGGGTGGGGAGTTAGTGGGTTCAATTGTATGGGTGTGCATGTAGGTACGGTACGTATGGTATGGAAAGGCTGGGTCGGATGGGACGGGTCGTAAGTAGGTAGGGTTGCGCGCATGCGCGTGTACCACAGTATGTGTGGAGTGGGGGAAGCTGCAAGGGGTTGGGGGATGAAGTGGACGGTTTTTGCTTTTGTGGAAGAGTGCAGATGTCTGTATCCCTTTTTGTTTTTTTTTAAATCTTGTCTAGAGATGGGTGTGTGTTTTGCAATGGAATGGTCATCGAGTAGATTGAAGGTTACTGTCACATGTCTTTGTGAAGTGAGCTTGGCGTGCGCTACTAAGAATGGGGCCAAATCTCCCAGTCTATTTTGCTTTCTCTTATCTCTCCATACGCCGCGTGTGCATGTTATTGCCCTCCATGTTTGGACTAGAGAATACCTACTGCGCGCCCGGACCGAATTGTTTCTATGAAAAATCACAGCAGTATTGGGTCTCATACTCTCGCCCACTCAGATTTAGATTTAAGATGCTATTGGTATTTGACAAGGCAGATTTCTCTAAATCGACCATGAAAGTGATTGGCCATGCACAACCAGCGCCCAGGAAACATAGGTGGCGCAGCCGGTAGGAGCATGCAGCTGAATTACCCCTCAGCAATGCACAAGATCTCAGCCTTGTCGAGATGCAATTTCCAACCACCTGTCCACTCACTCTCTGAATTTTTTGTGAAAAAACAGTCACATCAACTCATTCTTTCTTTACTAGCCATGGAAGTTGCCGGCCTTGCCATCGGTACTGTTGCGCTTGTTGGTGTTTTCGGAGACTGTGTGGAGCTCTTATCATATATCGGAGCAGCAAAGTCAATGGGCCAAGATTACGCCGTGCTAGCAACGAGGCTCGACATCCAGAGAGTTCTTCTGCACCAGTGGGCGAACAGGCTGAACCTTTTAGATTCCGAGCACTATGACAAGCGACTTGATGACCCTCACATTGGGCCTCTCATCTCTCAAGGTCTTGATTGCATCCGTCAGCTGCTACAAGACAGCCACAAACTCGAGCAACGATACGGTATTAGACCAGCCAAGATTCATGAATCAATAGAACCTCCGACAGACCTCAGTATTCGGCTGAAGTCGCAATTTAGTCAAATGGCACGCAAACTTCGATCTCTTAATGACGTTCAGTCAGTCCACCTATACCAAAGTGAACAACCCGATCAATTACCAAACAAACGCCGCAAGACTCAACATGTTGCTGTCGACAAGGTCAGATGGATTATCAGAGATAAAGAACAGTTTGAAGGCCTCATCCAGAGCTTATCCGAGCTAATCGCCGACATCAACGCAATCATACCTCCACAAAGTGGGAAGTCCACCGATGTCGCACTGCAGCACGAAGTAACCAATTTGAGTTCTGTCAGTGAGCTGAGACTTATCAAGAGTGCTTTGCCAAACGAAGACATCAACATCACTTGCGGGGTAGACACGGCCATCGATCGGGAATGTGCCAAATTAGTTCTCGCCCGCCTCTGGTTTCGCCTAATTGATGACAGAAAAGACAGTGTTTCTGAAGCACATTCCGAAACTTTTAAGTGGGCAATCGAGCCTCCTAATCCTGGAAGTAATTGGAGTGACTTGGGCCAATGGCTACGATCTGGAGCTGGTATATACTGGATCTCTGGTAAACCTGGAAGCGGAAAATCCACATTGATGAAATACCTCTGTGAACATTCCGAAGCCCCAGAACTACTGCAAAAATGGGCAGGGAATCAAAAATTGACCATGGCTAACTTTTTTCTCTGGAACGTTGGAACTTCCGAGCAAAATACCCTTGATGGTCTGGCCAGAGGTCTTTTGTACCATGTCCTGAAGAAAAATGAGTCACTTATTCCGTTTGTTCTTCCGAACATGTGGCAGGAGGCTCAAAGTGGTGTCAAGGACTTGAAGCTCCCTTCAAGCACTGAACTAAACCAGGCCTTCCAGCAACTTGGCAAAGCATCGACACAAGGGGCATTCGCTTTCTTCATTGACGGTATCGACGAGTTTAAAGGCAACCATCGAGCAGGAATATCATTTATCCAGAAACTCGCGACCAGCACGCATATAAAAATTCTGCTTTCAAGCCGACCTATCGACACATGTGTTGCAGCCTTCCGCACAAGACCTCAACTGAGACTACAGGATCTTACGAAGCGAGATATCGAAAAATACGTCAACGACACAATTCGGTCTTATCTTTGCCGAGATGGCGACAGCTATCTTGATGAAGTTAACGTTAAAGAACTGACTGTAACTCTACAAGAAAAAGCGGAGGGTGTATTTCTCTGGGTCGTGCTTGCTTGTCGCACACTACTGGACCGCTTTGACGCATATGATTCTGCAGAGGAGATCCAACGGGCAGTTGACCGGCTACCACCAGAACTCGAGGACCTTTTCCGCAGTATAATCGAGGATATACCACAGGGGGTCCGGCAGCAAGCATCGAAACTGCTACGTGTCTGTTATTCCCGAAGTTTACAACTATCCTTAGACTACACAATTCCGGCCTTTGCACTGGCTTGGGCAGACGAAAATGGCATGTCTTTGAATAAGATGAAGCAACTCACTCGATACTCACCTAATGAGATGAAGCAGAAGTCTTCAATGCTAGAAGGCCGTCTTCGTAGTAGGTGCAGAGGGTTATTGGAAGTACATGGCGATATTTCCGACAGTCACCTAACGGATCCTCATGATAACGACTGGCCTTCTGTCGACTTCATGCACAGAACGGTATTCGAATTTCTTAAAAATACAGATGCTTTGGAACTGGACTGTTTAAAGATCGATGATGACCAGTTCGACCCGACTGCTGTCTTGGCATGTATGTATTGGTATGCCCTGTTCCTTGAGACCGAACCCATACCAAAGGGACACCTGTTCGTTATGGACTGCTGGCGACTTTCGCAACCGTCAGAAATTGTTTCGTATTCCAGTGCGGCTGCAGTTATCGACTGCGCTGTCGTGGCAATAAAACACTTTCCGTCCTCCATTGATCAGGGAGGACAAAACGCAGGATGCCACTCTCAGTCACCAACATACCCAGCCGTCGGCCCGGATGATATACACTCAATCCTTGGATTCTCTACACATGAACTAGACGATAGGCGTGCCGCCCTACTCTTGGCTGTAGAACTAGGTCTAGATATCTATATTGAGAAACCTGCTGTCGAGAATTATAACGCATTACAAAGGCTGCAGTATGGAGACAAATGTGAGCAGCTCAACCTCTTGTTCCATGCCATTAGCCAGCCCACGCTGAAATCGCTCGCGGGCATTCATCTAGTAGTGGCATCGCCAACGACAATAGAGGTTCTTTTGGATTCGGGGTGTGATCCAAACCAGATAGTGATGGAAAACGAGGAAACTACCACTCCATGGCTAGTGTTGCTGAATGATAGGGATTTTATAGAGGGCGGCGGATTCTGGTGGACAAACAGGGCTCAAGTTATACTGAAGATGCTGAAGGCTGGTGCGCACCTTTCGCCCGACGTTCCCCATCATCTTGGTGATTTGCGTGTTTTTCTGAAGCGTGAAATTGAGGCTTGCGTATGTCCTAGTCAACTAGAGTATCGGGGCTCTGTACATGAACCGGCAAGCAGCAAGCGCCGCACCACCATAACGGCATGTTATTTGGAAATTGCACGAGCAATTGGTTTCCAAGATGACGTTGAGTTGATGGATAAGATCAGGGCATTCGAGCCGGAATGAGCGATGGATGAAAGTCTGACGATAAGTATGGCTGCAACCAATGGACTTGGGGGGAATAGAACAGCTACAAATATCAAGACTACATCACACCCCTTCATTATACCCTCTTCCTGAATCACGGTAGTTTCCCATTTTTGAGCCTGTTCACCACCTGTCAAAACAATGTAGATTGAGTCTATCGAGCATACACTGAAAACATTAGCCGAAGTAATGAACTAAAAAAAAACCCGCTATTTCTCAAAAGCATGTTGAAAATACGGGTTAGACTACTGAGTTTGAACTAAGTCTTTGCACCTACTAAAGCGATACTCCCTCTGCCCCAAGAATTTTTACTCGACACGTTGACAGTAACCAGTCCATCATCCACAGACAGCAACATGAAGGCAATTCTGCACCACCGTAAGCCCTGAGCTTCGCCCATCCGCATGCCCCATGGAAGGCCTTTATATAGGACGTTAAACTTGAAGAAACGAACAAATAAACAGACGACAAGACCAATTATAACACTTCCACCCCTAATACTACAAACCACCAACAGTGGGAGGGAAGATGGCCATGACTTTTCTACATCCTTACATGAAGTGTCATTCTAAACACAGTAGCTCTACAAATTTCAAATATCTCGACGATACTCTAGACTATTTGCCGAGCTACGCACATATAACACTGCCCAAATTCTTTACTATACCTTCTTTCCCAATGCAAAGGCCACAATTAACCCACTGTCACACCATCTTCTCCCCCACATCCATGTCCATCTCCTACCATCCAGCCAAACCCAAACTCTCACCCCAACCCACCTTACCACCACCATCCCATCATCCCCCCTTCACAGCAATCGAACACACAAACACAACAACAATCTACAAAGAAGAGGCAAAAAAAAGACAAAGTTTCAATGTCAAACATGGTATCATGGCATTAAATTTTATCATAGCATAACCGCAGCGCTGTCGCCGACGCTGCCCAGCAAAAAAAACCCTCCCCAAGCCAAACCAAACCAAACCAAAATCAAGAAAGAAAGAAAACATTGGAAAAAGATATAATACCATACAGAAACAGTACAAAAGAGTACAGTCAACAGTACAAGTACAAAACTTCTATCTATATGTGAAAGGGAACGAAAAAAAAGAGATGAAGAGCGAGAGCGAGATTTCTCGACAATCAGTCTTGAAAAAAAGAAAAGAAAAGAAAAGAAAGAAATAATCCCCATCTAGTAGTGGTAGTGGTAGTAGAAATAGGAGTAGTAGGAAAAAAAACTCTTTGCAGGGTATTTTCGATTTCCGGACCCCACACATCTCCATTTCCCCCCAAAAAGAGAGAAAGAGAGAGAGAAAGAGGGAAAGAAAAGACGGTTGCGAATTCGCTCACGAAAAAAAAAAACTTCGTTTACACACAACAAAAAAAAACCCCCCAGACATTCAAAACAAACACAGATGAACCAACCAACAATGTCGGCCATACAACACCAACGTCGAAGACGGAAGTGGGACACACACACACACATAGACACAAAGCAAAACAAGTTTTTGGAAAAAAAAAAGAAGAAAGTGCGTCTTTTAACTTTTCCCCATTGAATCCCTCCACCGTCCATCACTCACACAGACAAACTTGACATTCCGCCCGCGACTCCGCACACTCTGCACACCACCCGCGTCGAGCCAACGGCCGAGATTCTTACACTGACTGACATCAAAGCGCTCGAGGTCGCGACAGCCCTCAATGACGGCCTCGACGCCCGTGCCCGTGACGCGCACGCAGCCGCGCACAGACAAGTTGCGCAGCTCGAGGAGGTGCAGTGAGATGCAGCGGAGCGAGGTATCTGAGACTGCGGAGCCGCAAAAGGCGAGGTTGAGGTGGGTGAGGGATGGAAGGCCGAGGGCCAGGACTTCGGTCGCTGTGTCCGAGAGGGCGCAGCAAAAAGACTGTTGATTTGGAAAAGGGTTTCGAGTTAGCGGGTGTGTGAAACTTATTTTTTTTCTTCGTTCTTTTTCTTTTTTTTTCGAGGGAAATGAAGGGAAATCAGGGCCTTTCTCTCCTTGTGTGTGGATCGGGGAAGTGTATTTTTGTTTCTTCTTTTTCTCTTTCGTGGCATGATAATCCCAGAAAAAGGAATAAAGTGACAAAAGATGAGGGTCCAAACTTACCAAATCGAGTTGCTTTAACCCCTTGGCTGCATTGGTGAGATAAACGATTGCGTTGTCGGTCAGGTAGGTGCAGTCGGCGAGACATAGCTTGGTGAGCCTAGGGAAGGGGTAGACGCTCCAGTGTTGGAAGCCTACGTCTGTGATGGTGGTGCAACGTGTCAGATCGATGCTTTCGATGCGGTTGGCTGCGTGAACAGCAATGTGTGCCATGCTTCGGTCAGTAATGTGCTTGCAATAACTTAGTGTCAATCGTCGGAGTTTTGGACAGCCAACAACGGTGCCTGGCGGTAGAGGTTGCGGTGGCTGACTGTTGGTGCCTTTTCCTTGTCGGCGCCCGTTCATCTGAGCCTGTTGTTGAGCATGCGCCATGGCCATTTGGGGAGGCATATCGGGTACTATCCAGCCAATGACTCGAGCAAGGAGATTATCGCCAACCTTTCTGCAGTTGCTCAGATCTACCTCCTCTAGACCCTTGGCTTTCTGTACCATTTCGAGAACAGCAGGTCCGGTAATGTCCCAAACGCTCTTCATACGCCATATCCTGACGCTTGGGCCGCACGTCTTTGCTAGTTCTCCAAAACCCTCGTCTGTCACATGAAAGCAGTTGCTGATGTTGACGGACCGTGGCCGGCTGCCGGCAAAAGGACATATTATGTCGATTAGTGACCGGTCGGTGACTTTGCGGTTGTACTTTGTAAGATCAAGGTCGTGGAGAATATCAGGAGATTCCGATATGAGTTTGCTCCAATGTGAAGAAATGACGCGTAGTTTCATCAGTTCGTGAATGTCTAGATTCGCCAAGATGGTAACAAGTACGGAATCTGGCAATCGACCTCGTGTGTATATGCTTGGTTTTGTGACAAGTCGTGGGCGCTTGAAATCGAATGGAACCTCTGGCGGGGTAGATGCATGTTTTGCTATTGCGAAAGATGGCGACGGAGAGAGCGGTGAGCCGTTAGGAGATGGAGTCCTTGGGAATTCAGTTTTTCCAGGACTTGCGGGGGCTTCGGGTGTTGAGCCAGGTGCTGGTGGAGCGAGTGAGCCTCTACGCGATCGTGATCTAACATTGTCAAGGTCAACGTTTAGAAAAGGGTCGGGATCGAATGGCTCCATCATCTTCTCGTCTCTCCGAACAGGAGCTACGGAATTGTCAATGCCCAGTGTTTCATTGAAGGTAACGGTCGGCACGCTCTTTTTCCTCCGTGGAGTTCGGGGTATTGTGTAGTCTACTATGGCCAAGTCGTTGATATTGGGTGTGCTATGCGCATCTGGCATGAGCACATCTTCGTCCTTGGCAGTCTGTAAGCGCTCTTTAGCGACCGACTCGACCTGTCGCCGTACGTCTGGAGTGCACTTTTCCCACAGCTGGTTTAGTGTGTCTCCGGTAATCATTAGGCATTCGACAGCGGATATAGAGCGGACCGTAGCAGTGCGGCGTGGCGCCAGCGAAAGACTGACTACCTCACCAAAGTATTGCCCTGGCTTTAGGCGAGCCTTTACTTCTTGGAAATTGTGCTCGCCCGCAGCAATCGACTTTCTTCGTCCCTGGGTGGGTGAAGTGAAGCCGTTGGATTCAGGCACATGGTCGCTAATAACCTCGACTTCGCCCTTTACAATGAAGAAGACATCCCGGCCGTGGGTGCCCTGTTTTATAATGTCTACAAAAGGGTCGAAGGAACATGGCTGGGCGCGCATGCCGATGAAGTGCAGAATATCGTCAGGTAGCTCGGAGAAGAGAGGCAACTCCTTCAGCAAAGGCCTCACATGCAGGCTGTCGCTTCCAAAGGCACTATGGGCAATGGCTTCAGCAAGGCCCGGACTTGGAGATTTGCGCTTCTTGAAGGCATTGATCTCGCCATCACGTATAGTACCGCTCTCGGCCATGACCACATCACCGTCTTCACGATCGCGCTTGCCCGTTATCTGGCGCATGGGTTGTGGGCGCTTGGCTGATAGCTCCGACTTTTTGCGCTGCAGAATGGCCAGGCGCTCCTGGGCCTCGTGCCTGATGGCAACTTCAACTTCGGGAAACTTGGGGAGCTCCTTGGTCAGGTCCTCCTTGTTCAGACGCACGACGAGGGAGCGGACATTGGCAATAATGGTGGCAGTGCGGGGAATGTCCATGAGGATGCCAATCTCGCCGAAGAAGGCACCGGGCTTCAATTCGGCATATGTGCTCTCCTGGTCGCGCGAGGTGACGCGCACAGCACCGCGGACCAGCCAGTACATGGCCTTGCCCGTCTCGCCCTCGGTCAGAATTGTGTCATGTGGCTGATAGAGCTGCGGCTTAAGGTGCAGGCCGACCTGGGCGAGGAAGGAGTCGGGAGCAGCTTGGAAGAGGGGGAAGGAACGCAGGCGGTCGAGCAGGTCGAGCGGCAGGCCCTGAATGGTGGAGGCGGCGAGAGGCGAGGGGCGAATGGGTCGAGCAGGATTGGAGTCGCTATCGTATGCGCGCACCATGGCGAAGGGATCTGGGACGGGCACGCCTCCATGAGCGCGGACTGGGCCACCGCCCGGCCTGTATCGGCGCATGGAGGCGGTGATGGGGGGCGTGGGAGCGTGGGAGGAGAGGGAAGTCGTTGTCGTTGTCGTGGTTCGTGGTCGTGGCCAGAGACGCGTTATGGGAGTCGCGATAGCTTGTGCAGAGGCGGCGGGAGCGGGCTCGCAGCGGGGAGGGGCAGCAGCGGTTGACTAGCTGGCGGCGGTGTGGTCGTGTGCGGGCGAGTGGAAGCGGTAGAATGGCGGGGCAGGCTCAGCTCATGGTGGTTTGTGGTGGCTTTGGCTGGAAGGAGGGCGGTGGGGGAGAGGGCGAGGGTTTGTGCAGAGGCTCAATGGGGAGAGGGCGGTATGCAGGCGGGCGGGCGGTCAGTAGCAGATGCAATGGATGGCGTGGAACAAAGCTGCCGCTAGAAGGCCACTGCAACACCTGCCACGGTTGACCGGCGGGCGGGACGCACTGAGCAAAGCAAGGGGCGGGCGGCAGAGGGGGTGTGAGTGGGTATGGCTATTGCAGGAGAGTAGGCTATTTTCAGCGTCGTGGCTACAGTCTTGCAGGCCCGTCGTGCTTTTCGGAGAGAATAGAGGATGGATCGAGTGCGGGACGAGGCTTTAGTCCCTGGCTGACCGACCTTCTACTCGGCCTTCTCGAAACCAGGGCACGGACGGACTGGCATGCTGCTCCCTGGCCCGTCCTACCCACGAGAGTGCGCTGTCCTGGACTGCCCTGCCATCCCATGATAGCCTCTTCCTGCTACACCCCCATCACCATCACCATCACCACCGCCACTAGCCTGGTCCCCGAGACCGCCAGTGTGTGTGTGTGTGTGTGTGCTTGCTTGCGAACGACACCCACCCACCCACCCCGCTGCGCCCGTGGGCTCTCAAGCCGCCCCATGGCCCCCCATGGCCCCCATGGCCCCCATTGCACGGCCCCCTCACCGCCGCATCAGATCATGTCGCAGACAAGGCGCCCGCTCGTCGCACGTCATTCCCGCAACAAGCAATTAAACTTTGCCCCTGCTATCGACTTCCGAATTTCCTATCCTCTGCACCCTGTATATACGCCGCGAGCAATACCACAAGCAAGCGCCCAACAAGCCATTTCCCCTACATGTCCTGGGCACGTGGACATTCAGTACATGTGGACATGTCTATGCATGTACATAGACCTGACGGCCCCCCCCATCCCTACTAATACCGCCTGTCCTCCTCATCCCATCTGCCCCCCTCCTGCCATCGTTCGTTTCTGCGACCGTGTCCGTTTCCATAGTCACCCTCCCACCCCTCTCCCTTTGGTTGCTTCTTCTTCTGTCGCGTCTTGTCCCAGTGATCGGCTGCTTCCCGGGCACCAACCCCTCCGATAATGGCTCCGGCAAGCGTTGCAGCAGTATCGTACTTCTTGCCTTTGCCCACTTGGTTGCCCGCAAGCCCACCTACCAATGCCCCTCCAATGGTTGCAATGAGCCGATTCCTCGCATCTTCATGTGCCAATTGAGCCCGTGACCGCGACTGCGACTGCGACCGCGACCGCGACCGCGACCGAGAGCGTACCTGTCGTGACTCCGACTCCCCTCGCCCCCGAGAGCGCGGCGGAGACCACGAAGACCGTCTTCGGAGTGGGGCTGGTCGGCCATAATAGCCTTGCTCATCGGCCTGCCCATATGACTGTCTTTAGTCAGCTATTTATCCCTGCCCCCATTACAAAGACGACGCACTTCTAGTTGCGTGTTTCGCCCATTGTCGTATTCAGGCTGACGGCGAGGCACTCTGAAGCCTGGCCCTGGTGCTGTGTGCATATAGTCCATTTGCTCCGTCTCGCGGTACCGCTGGTCCCTTGCATACCCGTCATGTCCGTCTGGCCCATACATTTCAGCGTCAGACTTGTAGCCGTATACGTCGTCCGAGATGGGGCTTGATGACTCGTAGCCCTTGTCAGGGTGCTGTGGTGCTTGCCCGGACGGTAGCCCTCTCTGCTGCTGGCGATATTTGGTTCTTCCCGGTCTTGGTATGGTTGGTAGATGATCATAGGTTCGGTCCCAGTATCGATCTGCGAATCTATCAAGGCCCTCGAAACCGAGCTCCTATATATCATCGACGCAACCAATCAGCAGACTTCGAAGAGTGCAGTAGCAGCAGGACAGCAAGGATACAGGCCACGTACCACAAACTCCTCTGCCATGGCAAATGACTAGTTTCGTATTCTTTGTGGTTTGGTGCTTCCGGGATAGCCGTCTTGGTGGACTTCACCCACAATCCGGTGATGCGGATACTGGAAACACCCGTTTTCATAGCGTATTTTGCCCCCCTCTTGGCCGCCTTACACTCGTCCACCATGCCGGTTTTCCAGTGTTTCTGCAAATGACGTAGGGAGCCGCTAAGCCACATGGGAGCTAGCGGTAGAACGGCCAGAGTGAACCGAGTGAACCGAGTGAACCATCCCCAGAAACGGGAAGCTGCGATCTCCAGATGCCCTGTGGCAGCCGCGCCCCAACCACAGCACTGCGCCCAACTCAGCCCCCAAAATCTGACTGGGCTATGCATCGGCATCCTTGATAATAATCACCTCGCATAATATCGCAGCATGATTGCGCGTACGCCAGTATCAGATTAGATTATGTAGAGTGCCACCTTGGCTCTAGTCTGCGTTTCAACTACTATACTCTATCCGATACCTCATCTACCCCACATTGTTTCCTTCTCGCACTCACCCCATCTCATCGACTGACTACACAGACCTTACACAGACCTTGTCCACGCAACCATGTCACTTTCTTTCACATCTCAAGTGTTGGAAATCGAGGCCATCGTCGATTACGTCTTTTCCAAGAAACGCCTTGCCGCGGAAGCAGCTCAAATGGCAGCACCACAGATCGCTTTTGTCGAGGACAACGCCTTCAAGGTTTTATATAACAACAAGAGGCTAGCAATCCTAGGAGAAGCAGTCCTCGCAAGAGAGCTATGCAGTGCATGGTTTAGAATGCGTGGGTCGCATGGTAAATCACGACCCCCTTACTCTTGCTAGGCTGCACTGCTTACAACGACAGACGACGCCCTGTCCCCAGCACAATGGACGCAACTGCGTAACGACTTGATCTCTAATGATGCGTTGGCTCACCGAGGCTATACCGTCGGAATTGACCAGGTCATCATCACCGCTAGTAGCACACCTACTGTGTCCCCTAAGATGGTCGCAGCAACTTTCGGAGCCATCATTGGAGCAGTCCATGAAGATGGAGGAGATGCTGCTGTTCACAAAGTCATGCAGCATCTTGGGTTCTTCGACCACGCCCTTCTCACGGTAACGTCTCTATTTTTTCACTCCCACCCTCAACATGAGCAACGGCTTGTCATGCACTAATCAAGACACTGCTAGATCCTTTCATCGTCAGCTCTAGACCCCTCTCTATAAAGAAGCTCCAAGTTCCCTTAGTAAAAGCTGGGCGGTCTATTGGACTCTTTGCTGCGTTTTAGTCTCACTTGGGGTTTCAACGCAGCGTTGAACATTCATACGGGCCGCCCTCTCGTTGCTTTGTTAATTTGGATCTGCTTTATAGGGCGGTGTCTGGATCAAGCCGGGTTATGGACCTGCACGGTCAACTGCGACTACGACATCGCCGAATACAATATTTCGCATGGTTTCTAATGAGTGATTATGAGCAGTCTTGTTAGCGATGTACTCCTGGTCTACGGTCTGCTGGCTTGCCGAGCAAAGCCCAGTTTGAGCCGAAATAGCGAACACGCGTAACCGATGGAAGTTGTCATTCAACATGACACTTTTTGTTGTTTGTTGTAACAAACGATGTTGGTTTGGTTTTTATATCTTTGTTGCGTATGCATAAATACACACTCATCTTTTACATTTACATTTTCCACCTCAAAGTACCTGGGATACTGCTTCCTTTCGCCTTCATCATAACTTCTCGCTATCGTATCGCCGAATCTAATGAGATACAGCAGCTGGCTGCCACTGGCTCGATATGCGGCGCCTAAGGTGGCAGCAATCCCCCTCAAATCACGTTCCTCTTTCCCACGCGCCCATTTTCAAACAACTTTGCAGCGAAAATACGACACTCCCACTATCAACATTGATCGCAAAATCGCCGGCGTTGAAAAGGTCTTCGACTACTACTTCAAGAACAAGATGATTTGCGCAGAGTCAGTCCAAATGGCAGCTCCAGAAGTGCTCCTCAGGATCAAAGGCCGTGAGTACAGTATTGTCCATAACCGACGCCTAGAGCTTGTCGGCGACAAGATCATGGGTCTTGTCTTATCACAAAAATGGTATCAGGTCCGCAATCAGAATGGTATATACCCACTTGCATGAAACATCCACCATCATTGATAAAAAAACTAACAAGAATAGGCCAAACCACTCCAGTAAAAACCTGGAATGACATTCACAAATCTCTCGTTTCGAACGAAGCTCTCGCAGCGCGCGGTTTTAAGCTTGGCCTCGATGCTTTTGTCGTCCCGGCATCTGGCGTACATGTGACGAAAAACATGATGGCGGACGCATTCGAAGCCATGGTCGGCGCTGTGTCACTTGATGCGGGAGAGGATGCTATTGAGGCTGTTCATGGTGTCCTTGAGCGTACTGGGTTCTTCAATCATCCTATGCTGGTAAGGTATATTTCCTTCCTGCTACTTTTCACCGTACGCAGGAGACGATTGCATCTTGGAGTAGGTGGATTGGAGTTTCGAATTGTGATAACGATGATCCCTTCGCATCCGTAACCAGTCACTGTGTGGCCATAGTAGATGATAGCCATGTTACTAATTAGTTGTTTAGCAGGACTGTAGTACGAAGTCAAGAGGCGTTCGAAAGTCGGAATTTATCAGTCCCTCTTGTTGAAGAATTGGTAATTGGGTGCAGAGTGTTAGATACAAGCAAACTGGAGTGCACAGATAGGAAACGCTCAAGTTGTTTTGGGGGTTGAATCGAGAGATTTCGATTACATGACTTTGTAGTTTCAATTGCAAGCTTCGAACGATTTACACGTCTTGGTGAAGCTCTTCATTCCTTCATTTAGCCCCGCTCTAGCAAGCTCTTTCATTGAGCGGCCCTCCTGTGAGGCAGATCCTTCTAGAGACCCAAGGCACGCGACCTCTTTCCACAGCGCCTACGGCTCCAACCACAAATCTTCTTGGCCACTACGGGTTGCTGCCGGCCTTGTGTCTTAAGTGCTGAGTGACGCTCTACAGCGTTTGACACGTATTAAGTTGAAAATAGCATCACACCTCTCTCTTTCATCCAAATCGCTTTCCATAGCCCTTCACAACATCATCCAATATCCCGCGCATCCTCTTGCACCCCTCAATCCCCACCGCCAGCATACTCTCCAGCCTCTCCATGCGAACTCTACTCTCCATGACACAAACCGCCACATTATCGCTCTCCCCCAGCGTCGCGACCGTCAAAAACGGCAACTCCAATTCCTCCTGATTATTCAAATCCAGCAGCGGATCATCCGCCGACGCATTATCCGCCGCCTCAGCCGACGCACTCGAAGCCGCCGTGCACGCAACTAGGTAGTCCGTCATCGGTATCCCCGCATCCACCAGCGCCAGCGTCGCCGCATTCAGACACGCCGCTAGCAACGACCCATCCTGCGACACCACATGCACATTAATCGTAATCGTAGACCTCGGATACAAATGCAGCGACAACACCCCTTCAAACGCCGATCGCAAACAATGCTCCATCTCGCTCGTCTTCTTATCCGACTTGCGCTTTCGGCGGTCCACGCCGCTGAAGCCCGCAAAGTTTATTTCAACGTCGATTTTGGCGAGTTTGTCGCTGGTGGCGCCGCCGCCGCGTTGGCCCGTTTGCCGGCCTTCTGCGGCGGGGCCCGTGACCGAGACGAGAATCTTGGTGTTGCCCATTTCGAGGTACGAAGACCCGTCTGCGGCGGCTTGCGTGGAAATTTGCGCGTGGATGTGGCGGAGCTCGTTCCAGCGGCGGCCGTCGAGGCGGAGGAGCGCGAGCGAGTAGGTGCTTGTGTCGAGAGGCATGGTTGGAGATTTATTCTGTGATCAATTGGGAGGTTTATTTTTCGGATTTTTCCTCGCAGTGCAAAGAGAGGCTTTTTATGCGACCAGGTAATTCGGAATTTTACTCGTGTCGCTGGGCGGAGTGGCTTGGTCGCGAGCGACAATGATGATGCAAGTTCAGAAAGCTGGAGGCTATGATATTTTGATCCATGCTGCAGCGATCTGCAGACAAGCGGGGCCCCGCTCTCACGTGAGGACGCGTTAGCGCGTTTGTCGTAAGCGGCGCTCCCTTACTTCCTACCACTCGTCACTTGTCGCTAGCGATATGCCTGTGCGACCTTTTGTTTCAGGCACCGATTCGTTCAACTGCCTGGAAAAGGGTGCCAATCACCCCATATGACCGGCTCTTTCATATCAAAATCTGGTGGTAATAGTCATGACATCTAATCGCGACAATTCAAAGGACCAACAGAAAGCACTGAGAGCTTTTGCTGAGAGCGAAGAGATGAGTGATACCGATACTGATGATGACGGCCTTGATATCATTAAGACATCGCGTAAAGATCTAGATATTTCGCAATACATTGACGGTCAGTGGACATTAGTCTCCATCAATCAAGACGCTGACGATTTCTAGTCCTGGCGCAAACTCAGACTCAGTCGGAGAGCCTGGATGCAGTACGCAAAGAAAAGGATGCGGAGGGTTCAAGTACAGAGGATGATGAAGCTTTCCAGCAGCTTCCAGGCTCAAGAACCAAGAACGGAAATGACTCTGATACCAATGGTGCTGGTGAAGAGTCTGAATGGTCTGAAGAAGATACCAGAGCTGCGTACCAAAACTGGAAAGAGCGCAAAACTCTTAAAAGAAAACGTGTGGCTGCTGAGACTAGCCGGATCCGTGCCGAGAAGAAGTCAAAAGCTGCAGCTGCTGCGAGCATCGTGGGTCGTAAGGCTTCGTCCAGAAAACATCAGGGTGATGGTCCTACCGGATTCAGCACCGACTCCTTAGCGGATGACAGTGCCATAACACCATTTTTGGATGATCCAATTCCCGACTACATACTCTCAAGACAACAAGCTCTTAGAAAACTTCACGAAGCCGGTCTACGGTACCCTCCCAACTACCAGGGCATTGACTTCTCTGACTCCGAAATGGCAGAAAAGCCAAAATTAGATAAAGCTATCAAGCCGCAGAGGGAAAAGAAAGATATCAGGCTTCGTAGGTCGCAAGGCGTTATACCAGCGCCTATCGCACAATGGCTGCGTGACTACCAAGTGGAAGGCGTTCAATTTCTACACGAAAAATTTGTTAAGCAAACAGGCGCCATCCTTGGCGATGATATGGGATTGGGTAAGACAATTCAAGTCATTGCATTTTTGACGGCCGCGTTCGGAAAGGCGGGCACTGAACGTGACGCCAAGTGTATGCGTAAGATCCGTCGCTTTGGTAAAAATCGGTGGTATCCTCGCATCCTCATTGTCTGCCCTGGCACGCTGATGCAGAACTGGGAAGACGAACTGTCAAAGTGGGGTTGGTGGGAAGTGTACCGATATCATGGTTCCAGCGCAGCAGATCGCAAGGGCGTCCTTAATGCCGCGGCAAAGGGGATGCTCGAGATCATGATTACAACATACACTACATATCGTAACAACGAGAGCGAGATTAATACAGTCAGTTGGGATTGCGTGATTGCAGACGAATGCCACCAGATCAAGAGTAAGGATGCGGAGATAACAAAAGCTATGAACAAGATCAACGCACTCTGCCGCATTGGTCTTACCGGTACTGCTATCCAGAACAAGTACGAAGAAATCTGGAATCTTCTCAATTGGGCACGGCCTGGAGCGTATGGTTCATCTCAAGAGTGGAAGCAGAAGATCAGTCTTCCGCTGAAGATGGGCCAGGCTCACGATGCTACAAATGCTCAGCTTGCGGATGCACGAAGCCGCGCTCAGGATCTCGTGCAGAACATCCTGCCAAGCGTGTTTCTCCGACGAATGAAGATTCTCATCGCCGATCAACTACCTAAGAAGAGTGATCGTGTTGTCTTCTGCCAGCTTACGCAAACTCAAGCCGATGCATACCGCACCTTTCTCGAGAGTGACAGGTGTGAGTTCATTCGCACTGCAAGGGAGGAATGCGGCTGTGGATCGGGAAAAGGTAGAGGCTACTGCTGCCATGTCAACGTCCCGGGTGATGATGAGAAGTGGGCAGCCTTCATCTTCCCGTGCATGGTTACTTTTCAAAAACTCGCCAACCATCTGGCCCTCATCGTGCCACTATCGACCGATTCTGCAGAGAAACAAGCCAAAGACTTGAAGACACTGGAGTTAGCATGTCCCGGAACGTATAAAGAACTCTTCCGCATCCGTGACAACATTCTAGTGCAGTCGCAACGAGAGTTTTGTGGAAAATGGAAGGTGTTGAGACGACTGTTGGATTTTTGGCACTCGAGCGGCGACAAGGTCTTGATCTTTTCACATTCGGTCCGTCTCTTGCGGCTGCTTAGAGGCTTGTTCGATGTTGATGGCACAAAATACAACTTCTCGTATCTCGACGGTAGCATGAAGTATGAGGAGCGCTCCCAAGCCGTTGCAGACTTCAATGCGGATCCTAACCAATTCGTGTTTCTGATATCTACCAAAGCTGGCGGTGTCGGTCTCAACATTACGTCTGCAAACAAGGTCGTCGTTATGGACCCTCACTGGAATCCAGCGTACGATCTTCAAGCGCAAGATCGCGCTTATCGTATTGGTCAGACGAGGAATGTCGAAGTATTTCGGCTGGTGTCCAGTGGCACTATTGAGGAAGTCGTATATGCTCGTCAGATTTACAAGCAACAACAAGCAAACATCGGCTACAATGCTTCCGAGGAGCGCCGCTACTTCAAGGGCGTAATGGACGAGTCTAGCAAAAAGGGCGAGCTCTTCGGTCTCGAGAATCTGTTCAGCTATCAAGAAGACAGCGTGCTGCTTCGCAACATTATGCACAAGACCAACGTAGCCGAGTCCAAAGCCGGTGTGAATGCCTACGACTTTCACGTCGATGAATCGCAGTTCGACTTGGAAGACGAAGACATACTTTCCAACAAAAATCTTGGCATTGACGATGATGCCAACATTGCTGGGATAAAGAAACTGGCCGATTCCTTACTCTCGACTTCCAGTGCTAGCAACAAACCAAGCAGGAAGACCAAACACGGCGGGCCCGATCCGATCAATGCAATTCTTGCCAAAGCAGGTGTGGAATACACCCATGAAAACTCCGAAGTCGTTGGGCGCAGCGAGATAGAGGCTCGATTAGGTAGACAAGCTATGGAGTTGCGCAACGACATCGATCTCGCAAGCGAGCGTGTGTTCCAAGCCTCGCAATCGCAATCACAGCGTCCTTTCAACCAACCGGGAATCGAGCACGGCATTCATTCTGAAGACGAAGATGACGAGGATGAGCGGATTGCTACAACTGCTACTCCTGGCGAGTTCAAAATCAATTACCGGTATAGACCTAATGAGCGCGTGCGAAAACGCCAGTTCTGTAGTATGGCGGAGAGTATGGGGTTTGATGATCCTGTTGAGTTTGCACTGCTTGTGGAAAGTAGTACGCAGGAAGAAAGGCGGAAGATGCTTGAGCGATTCTATCGGGGCCGGAGGAGGCGGATAATCAAAGAGCTTGGCGGCTCGAAGTAGTAGAGCCACGGAAAGATCTGCAAGAGTGAGAGTCAAGAACGCGATCGACCCGACTTCGGTTATTGCTGGTACATCTGAGCTGGTACAGGCAAGGCTCGCTTCCAATGTTGATGTTCATCAAGCAATGCTGAGGCTCCATTGCAATGTATCAGAATAGGTCCCTTACTTACCCCACTTATGATGGCACGTTATCGGCAGTCAGGACTACTTACCCCAAGATTAGTAGTATGATCCTGCTCCGATTTACATACAAGAAGCTAAGAACAGCGACCCAACCTTCTATGTGTGTTAATGGTAAATCTTTGCACATTGCATCCTCACTGCAGACGTTCACCTCCTCAACAAGCTTGCTAGCATCACCGCATTACCGGCCTCAACCGACAACCCGCCAGGTCACATAAGATATCGCTGCCGTCTTCCATGCAAATCTGGGTGTCCCAGTCGTGAGCAGATTATTGATATCATACAACCGACGCAATAATGTCTTGGACCGTGTTGGCGCCATGGATCTTCCCTGCGGCATTAATGGCATTCCTTTACAGTTATATCCTGTACCCCTTTTTCTTTAGTCCATTATCACGTATCCCAGGTCCCAGGTTCTACGCCTTTACCAAGTGGCGACCTGCATGGGATGACTGGACTGGCCAGCGGACACGCAAGATCCATGCCCTGCATTTAAGGTATGGGCCAGTGGTGCGCATCGGGCCGAACGAGGTGCATTTTAACTCTCTCTCGGCGTTACGTACCATTTATGGTGCAGGAAGCGGATTCGAGCGCACTGTGTTCTATCGGATGTTCGATGCATATGGGAGGAAGAATATGTTTACATTGGCAAGCGGAGTAGAGCACGCACAGAGAAAGCGACTGGTAGCTCGCCCGTATTCAAAAAGCGGCCTTCCACAGTACAAAGTCGAAGAAATTGTGCAAGCGAAGACCAAGGACTTTTTTGAGACTGGTGGAAACGGATGGCACCCGAGGAGGCGGCTTGGAGATCTTCTCGGCACTTCACCACTACTCTATCGATATCATCACCACGTTCTTGTATGGGACTCTGAATTTCGGCGCAACCACCGCTTTACAAGGGACACCAGAACATGTTAAACTGCTGAACGATATCATGAACCATACTCGCCGGCGGCTATCCTGGTTTGCAGTCCATCTACCATCACTTACGAAATGGATGTACACTCGAACGGGGCTGGTTGAGAGCGCTATTCGGCCTTTCCTACCTATGGCCAAGCCCGCAACTTACTCCGGCATCCGGGCGCACGCACTAAGATCGATGCACGCTTTCCGTGATGCAGGCGAAATCTCGCGCGCCGAAGCGGAAAAGTCAATCATCAGTGAGCTATATAATTCAAAGTCGAAGTCCAACAACGACATGGATGACCTGGATATTGCCAGTGAATGTGCAGACCACCTCCTTGCTGGCATTGACACGACTAGCGATACCCTGATGTTCCTCATTTGGAGTCTATCCCTGCCTCGGAATGCACATGTGCAGGGGAAGTTAATTGAAGAGTGCAAATCCATACCCGATGACGACATTACTGACGGTAGTGTGAACACAAGGGCTGCGGATAGCATGCCGTACCTGAATGCAGTTGTCAAGGAAACGCTACGTCTTTTTGCCCCACTGCCCTCATCCGAGCCAAGATTGAATAGAGCGGACACGGTAGTTGACGGTTACAATATCCCGCGGGGTACAATATGTAGTATGGCGCCTTATTCATTACATCGGAATGAAAATGTGTTCCCTGACTCGTCCACTTGGAGGCCTGAGCGATGGCTGGACGCGGGTAAAAGCGAGCTAGCAGAGATGGAGAGATGGTTCTGGGCATTTTCAAGTGGCGCTCGCATGTGCGTCGGCATGCAGTGAGTGACTTTTTGCTGTGTTCCTCGGTGAATCTACTACTGACGTGTTAGCCTCGCCATGGCGGAGATGGCTTTAGTGCCGTCAGTGTACCGGAAATACGGATCGAGGGTGCTTCCGGGACAAGAAAACATGGCGCCGGGTGTCACCTCCAGGTTTGAAGTATTTGCTGATGACACATTCCTGGAGATGAAGGTCGGTGCTGCTACTGAGAGCCTCTGACATGTGCTAACGACCACTAGGAGCACACGTGCTGGGTGGAGTTTACTCCTCATTAGCAACGGAAGTGGGAAACAAGACCAGGTTCTGGGTTGTCGGCTCCACAAAATGGCAGTTTGTACCGGAATGTGGGGTGTCGTATTTTTCTTGGGCCTCGGAAACTATTACCAACGCCTCGTAAAATTCTTCTTGTTGCCCATACAGCATGGTCATGTGTCCAATCACGAATCTGCCGGTACATCTTCGGTTGGCAAATCTTTGGCTAGCTTCGGGGGCATTCCCCCCGACCACGCGCTCTCCACACTGCACTCCACACTCCACGTCTTGGCATCGTCTTCGGGTTCGATGGAAGGCAAAACGGTTGGCGCCAAGGACAGCCATACGATGGTTGCTGGACTACCTGTACTACTTCCCAAGCCAATAGCGTGTCCGAAGATTCCCCAAGAAGAAATCACCGGTGGTAGTCTCTCGGCTCTTGCACACATGATAGACAAGGAAAGGTGGAGCAGTGTACAGCGGGCAATATGAGGCTGGAATACAAATATGGGGTTGTAGTCTGCCTAACGGGTAGTCAATTGCATCTCTCGCCACTGTCCACAAAGTGCCTTGTTCCTTATTACCGGCAAGATGGTCGCTCGCAATCGCAGTCAGCGCAAGCTGAACACTTTTACCACGCTGTTCTTCGCTGCAACAGCCATGTCATCGGCAATCCGCACACCGTCGTTTGGCAAATCAACATATCCTCGTATGACATCACGGTCTACTGAATTGGACTCTGCACCATATCGGGACTCGAAACTCTCTGTTGATGAACGAGTCGAGGATCTTGTAAAGCGGATGACCATTGAGGAAAAGGCAGGCCAGCTTTTCCACAACATCATCAACCAAGGTCCAAACGGAACCCTCCTCAACATTACGAAGGATGCTGTGGAGGGCAAGCTCATGACCCACTTCAACCTTCACGGGCCGATTGCGGACGTACGTGCCACCGTGCAATGGTACAACAACCTGCAGCAAATGGCGCTAGACACTAGGCTAGGCATTCCAATCACAGTGTCCTCGGATCCGCGTCACGCATTCACCAACTCCGAAGGTAGTCAAATTGCAGCAACAAAGTTCTCACAATGGCCCCAGACGCTTGGTCTAGCCGCCATAAGAGATACTGAGCTCATCCGCACTTTCGGTGATATTGCTCGACAAGAGTATAATGCTGTTGGCATCCGGTCCGCCCTACATCCTCAGATCGATGTCGCCACTGAGCCCCGCTGGGCTCGTATTGGTGGCACGCTAGGTGAGAATGCTACTCTGACTGCTGAACTCACTGTTGCATACATTGAGGGATTCACTGGTCCTAATGGTTTTGGATTCGACTCGGTCACTACGGTCTCAAAGCATTTCCCCGGCAGTGGTCCTGTCGAAGGCGGCGAGGACAGCCACTTCACATACGGCAAGAATGCCACATACCCTGGCAATAATCTTGAACACCATCTTATCCCATTCAAGGCTGCCATTGCTGCGGGAACAAGACAGATAATGCCTTACTACTCCCGCCCAATGGGAACCAAGTACGAGGAGGTCGCTGCTGGTATGAACAAGGGCATCGTCACTGATCTTCTGCGCGGCAAGCTTGGCTTCGACGGCATCGTAGTCAGCGACTGGGGACTCGTCACTGACTCCATCATCCTGGGCCAAGACATGCCCGCCCGAGCCTGGGGCGCTGAGAACCTCACCGAGCTCCAACGCACCGAGAAGATCCTCAACGCCGGAACCGATCAACTCGGCGGCGAAGACCGCACTGACCTCATCCTCGAGCTCGTCGAGAAGGGCATCATCAGCGAATCCCGCATCGACGCCTCTGTCAGCCGTCTCCTCCGCGAAAAGTTCCTCCTCGGCCTCTTCGACGAAAAACGCTTCCTCGACGCCGACGCCGCCGTCGCCGTCGTCGGCAAAGACGAATGGCGCGCCATTGGCTTCGAAGCCCAAAAACGCTCCTTCACCCTCCTCACAAACAAGGACTCCTTCCTCCCCCTCTCCGCCTCCGAATGCGCAAAGTCGAAGTTCTACATCGAGGGCTTCAACAGCACGTTCCTTACCTCGCGTAACTTTGAAGTCGTGGCTACGCCCGAAGAGGCAGACTATGCTTTCTTGCGCCTCGTAGCGCCGTACGAGCCGCGTCCCGGCGGTTTCGAGGCTAACTACCACTCTGGCTCGCTTGAATACAACGCTACGGAGCGGGAGCGCCAGGCCGCTATTTACGCTGCCGTACCTACTGTCGTCGACATCTTCCTCGACCGCCCCGGTGCGTTTCCCGAGATCGCTGAGCAAGCGGACGCCCTCCTGGTCAACTTTGGCGCTAGCGAGGACGCGTTCCTGGACGTTGTGTTTGGTGTTGATGGAAGCGGTCCGGAGGGTCTGCTGCCGTTTGATCTTCCCAGGAGCGATGAGGCGGCGAAGGCGCAGAAGGAGGATGTGCCGTTTGATATTGTAGACCCTGCGTTTAGGTATGGGTATGGGTTGAGGTACGAGTAGTTAATGCTGGGGATGATGTAGGATTAGAGGGCGGATTCATGAGTAATGTTATAAAAATATGATAATGAATATTTTTTTTTTACATGAATGGCAGTTTGCATGATGTGCTGATAGTGAGGGGTGTTAAGATGAGTTTTCTTTTGTCAAAAGAGGCGATAGGGTGTCATAGTGATGCTCTAGCCTAACTTTCAGTTTTGTGCATAAAGCATAACTGCGTCAGATACATCTATGACGAGAGTTGAGCGATGGAAAAGATTATCCTTTCCGTGGTGCCTTAGTAAAAGCGGTGGCCTGGAGAGGAATCAGCTGATTGCATAGAAGAAATACTCATCTGATTAGCTGGGATTTCCGAATATCACATGCAATACGATTCTATCCTTGCTCTACCCTGTAGCGCCCCCATCTACTCCAGAAATGATAGCCGTGAGGCTGCTAGCTTGTATACCGCAGATTCAAGGTTCAGTAGGAGCACGTGCAGCATGAGATGAGGGGAAAGAGACGGTGAAGCCAGTGCGATCAACATAACATGAAGGGTAGGTATAGCCTACTATATGCTGTGACGACAAAGCGCATGTCGAGTATGATGTAAAGAAGATATGATGTAAAAGAGCAGATACATAACAGGGTCACTAGGCAGCTAGCGGACCGACTCAAAAGTTCACGCACACCGCTCCGGTGATGACCGCGCCACAGTGGCTGGAGGTCAGGATACCTGTGGTGGCCACGAGAACGGGGAGCTCCGGTGGGTGGTGTGGCGGTGCAGGGCCTCTTAGTACGTAGTATGAGTTACACTGTACCGTAGTATGTAATGGCCTTAGGCACTCCCCGCACACCACACCGAGATAGATCATCTTCCACGACACCACTGCATCCACACCACGTATGTATCTAGTATATGCGCGACCCATCAGCCTATTCTCCGGAAGACCCTGATCTTCCCCCTTGATGCTGCGCGACATGCGGGGGGAACGGGCCCCATTCCATCACAGAGCCAGTCGACAGTCGTGGAGGGCTGAGGCTTGTGTGTGGTGGGCCCCCTAGACGCACTACCCATGCACGATGATCACAGCCTACATGAACACAGCCTGGTCGGACATCCAACCCACCCACGCGAAGCTTCGAAATGCGGCCAAGGGCCCGCAAAATTTCTCAATGCGACGCTGCCTATTGCCAGCTTGGGAATATCCGCCCAGATGACGCCATGGGGTCTTGTGAGATTGACCTCAGCTCACTGCTGCCGTCCTGCCCTACTCCCGTGGTTTAAGTGTCAGATGTTCGCCGCCGCCTGCGCTATCTTTTAACTCCACCACCCCAGCACAACCACCTCGACTCTTCACCATCAAACTATGGGACGCCGTGAGAGACAACCGTCGCCCCCTCCCCCTCCCCCTATGGGAGCCCCGCCGCCATGTAAGAAGAAGTTTTCTGAAGTATTGTTTGTTAGCATACTAACTTTGTGCAGCTGATTCTTCCTACGTCTTCGACAGCTACGAGAACGGCAAGCCAAAATGGGCGCCTGGCAAAGACCACCAGCGCGACTACCACGAGTATCGTGATAGCCGTCGAGGAGATCATCGTCGTCCTCGCAGAAATAGGTACGACGAGGACGAGGGGCCTCCACCTCCACCGCCACAAGCACAAGCACAAGCGCAAGGCGCATATCCTCCACCCCCACCACCAGGACAAGAAGCACCGCCACCACCCAGAGGTAATTGGTCAAATTCACCTTTCCACTCTGACATACCAACTAACAATATTGTAGAAGCACCTCGAGACCCTCGAGATTCTCGAGACTCTCGGCCTCGCCATCACCGCAGACAGCCCTCCTACTCCTCCGACTCCGACTCAGGCGGCCCACCCCCACCACGCCGCAGCAACCGCCGCGAAGAGCGCCCCCGCCACCACCGAGAGGACACCTACGACTCTTACGACGAAAACTACCCTCGCCGCCGCCGCGACCGCGAATCCGGGCGCCGCGACCGCGACGGCTACAAATCAGAAGGCTACAAGTCTGAAGGCTACAAATCCGACCGCCGGCCCCGCGACCCTTACTACTCTGACCGCGACCGCGACCGTGACCGCGACCGTCGCGAGAAATCCCGCGGCGACAGAGACCACCGCAGACATCGTGATGACCGCTACGACGACCATCGCTACGACGACATGTTTAACAGCCGCCCTGCGCGCCGCGATAGTCGCTATGACGATAGACCGCCCCGCGATAGTAGACGTGGGTACTATGATGGTTATGAAGATCGCTATGGCGATCGCAGGAGGAGCACGAGAGATTCCAAGGCCAAGCCTGAGTGGCAGAGGCAGGCGCTGGGTATGTTCAAGGACTATGCGCTGCCGATTATTAAGAAGGAGGGGGCAAAGTATGTGCAGAAGCAGATGGCTAATGGGTTTGGGAAGCGTTAAGACAGTGGAATCTCTCTCTGTGTGTGTAAGAGGGTTTTTTGATGGACTTGATAAGGTTTATTGTTCTTCTTCTTCTTCTTTTGGATAACAACTGATAGACTTTTTGGTATTTGAGTGTATGCGAAGCGGAATTTGGGTATTACGAGAGAAGGCTTTGAGTTTTCCTACTAGCTAGGCGTTGAGAGGGGGCGGGGGCGGCGCGCACCATGCTGATGATATCCACCTTTCTCTTTCTCTTTCTCTTTATTTTGTTTTTTTTTGTTTTTTTAAAGAAATTGTCTTTGGTTTTGAGAGCTTTTGTTTTCCCTCCAAAGTAGATTTCTGATATTCAGTGTTTTAATGTTTTCGGTTCTTGAATCCATTCTTTTTTTATTTTCAAAAACGTTACCAAGGCATGTGTGTGTGTGATTTGATATATACATTTCTTTCACCAACTAACCAACCAACTAACCAACCAACTAACCAACCAACTAACCAACCAACTAACCAACCAAGCCGACTTTTCAAGGCAAGCTGTATTTTTTTTTTACGAGTGACCACCCTTGTCCCCTTCCACGGTACAATTTACCTGACTCTGGATCCCCTCGATATTCGTACAGGTGAAAAGATTTGTGCCACTCGGACTCTTGACGTCGATATTCTCAATCGAGATATCGCTGCATACCTTGGGGCTGGAGCAGACGACGTAGCCGACGCGGGGATCGTATTTCTTGCTCGTTGTGCCCTTGAAGTTTTTGATGGTGATGTCGGAGATTGTGAGGTTGGAGGGGAACTAAGTTGTGCGTTAGCAAGATGGACTTTTTTTTATTTTGAAAGAAGGGAGAGAGAGGAAGAGGAAGAGGAAGAGGAAAAAAAAAAGACATACCTGATTGCACAAGGTCAAATTCTTTTGTCCATAACACTGCGTGATTTCAATCGCGTAATCGACGTTCTTGACAATCATGCCGTCGTACGTGACATTGCGTACGGCGCCGCTGCCGCCGCCGCCTTGCAGGTCGCCGGAGAGCGCGGAAGAGGCGCCGGGCCAGACTTTGATGCGTGCGCCGTCTGAGGCGTTGGACATGGAGATGTTGCGCACGAGGATGTTTTCGACAATATCGACTTCGCCGGGGTACTGGCCGAGGGAGCCGACGCTGATGCCGTGGCTGCCGTTGCAAACGAGGTTCTGCACGAGGATGTTTGTGCTGTTTGGCTTGAAGGAGACGCAGTCGTCGCCGTTGTTGATGTTGGAGTTTTGGATGATGATGTTGTCGGAGCGGTAGGTGTCCCAGCTTTCAATCACAGTTGGTTAGATTTTGAGATATGCAGTGGTGGATACGTAAGAGAGAACTCACCCATCAGTGTTCTTGGCGGGATTCTTGCTTGTGCTGTCGCCGAAAATGTCAATGTTGGAGAAGACAACTTCGCTCGAGTTGGCGACCAGAGTGTACCACTGTGGGCTGTAGCGGAACTTGAGATCAGAGATCCTAGTGTTTTTGGCGCCGATCAGGCCAAAGAGAATGGGTCGTAGGATGTAAATGTCTTTGGCGTAGAGGTCGTACCAGGCTTGGCCGTTGCCGTCTAGGGTACCGCCACCGTAGACATTGATGTCCTTGCCTCCAAGCTGGAAGAAGGTGGTTGCATTCTGGAAAACCTGCTTGAAGGAATTGGCCTGCCAGTAATCAGTGTCGTTTGTGAATTGGATGGTTCCTTGGATATCTGACGGAGCCGTTAGTGGGGTCAGTTAGGTTATGCAGGGGTTGGGCGAACCTAGGTCAATGCCATTGAGGAACGTAAGATCCAAAGCAGTGCCAATGGTGAACTGCTGGTTCTTGGGAAAGACAACATGACCTCCATTGTTGCATTCCTTAACAGCGCTGAGAATATTCGCAGAGTCATCCTTGCCGCCACCGAGAGCCTTGAGCGTGCAGGTCTTGTTTCGGGAACCCGGCACCAAGGATGCCTTTCCCGGGCGAGACGGCACGGACGGGTGTTTTGCCGCAACAGCCTCTGTTCCAAGTTCTTCAACTGGAGTCGATAATGCTATCGACGCTTGTAGCAGGGCGCACGAGATGATGTCGGTGACACGCATGATTGCAGCCGTTTAGAAACCGTTGTAGTTGAGTATTGATGGTAACGGCTGTCAGTCCAAACTTATTGACGTGCCAAAGGGCTTGATATTAATACCCCCCATGCAATATCCTCAAGCCGTTGGACCCGCGGCCTTGGCTCTGGTCTTTGCCCCCTAATCTCGACATTTTGGTTAGTTGGTTCGCGGGCGCGGAGGAATTGGTGATCCATTCACGGTGATCCCAGTCTCTCCTCACGGCCACAGTGGCTAAAAAAGGCCCACTCTGTGGCGCTAAGCTAAGAGAAGCTAAGCTTTCCCCATCACCCTAGCCGCTTGGCCGAGCAGATTGGTGGGTTTTTTCCTAATTTCCCGTGCCATGACCGTCTTTGAGATGCCGCCTATGTGAGCACGAACGTGCGCTGATTCTTTCGTGTAAGCGTCTTCCTAGTTGTTGATAACGGTGAGAGTCTTTGCTTACTACTGCGAGTCAGCCGCCTAGGGCTATTACAACCCGTCTTATATGGCAAGGTACACCGTTTTGGATTCTGACAACCTTATATCGACGTTGGGACACAACGTCGCTCTTCTTGTTGATGTTCGCAATGTCAAATCTCATCTGATTTTGTAAGTTTTATTGTCTGAAAGGTCTCTGTTGGGTCTGGATGTTAAAATTACCGGGTTATCACCATTGCGACCGAGGACTGCAATTTGTTCGAGTCAGCACCGGTGGTTAAGTAAGAACGAGATGAATTAGACTTTGTAAGCCCAATTTTGAAAACTTGGAAACACGTGTTAAGTAAGAACAGCTATTAGAAATATCAGGTCACGGTAATACTAAGTATTGCTAAACGTTAATTGTTTCGTAGTATGTCAGGTAGCCTATAGTCGATGCTGATTATATCCATTCCAGCAATGAGCGCTTTATCTATCCCTACAAATAGGATGAATTCATCGATCGCGTGAGCACTGAAATAAGTGGCCAAGTAAACACCACGTACGACATCTTCGATATGCTCTATATACTACCGCGACATCAGTGCCATCAACTCACCTCACGCTCACCTGACAATCCCCATCTGACATAAGCACCGAATGTCATTTCCCTAGCATGAAAAAAACCTCCTCCCAACACCTCATCACCAAAAACTCCTACTCTGATTTGCAAATCGTATATTGCACATTATACCGTGAACAATCATGCCTAACAGAACCACCTCTTCCCCCCCCCCCCCAGTCCATCCCACGCCCACACCCCACCATGGCAGATGACTTCCCAAAAAGAACACAAACCCATAGCACCGCGTCTACTCTCCCGCTTCCGCGATACTAGCGACTAGTTGTTACCCGTCTATACCGGGAGACGGGAGTGAAGGGCCATGCATAGGGCGTGTGCTGTGTTGTACAGCCGCCCCTTCTTGTGGTACGCGTCGCTTGGGGATAAGGCGGACGATGGATCGGGGGTCCGAGTGGTGAGCAGGAAGATGGAGGGACGGGATAGGTGTGTGATGTAGGTACGTGATTGTTTTTTTGCTGGGAGGATAACGGGGAAGTGGAAGGTGCGAGACGTGGAGAAAGAGGATAGGGAGATGGTGTTACTGGGCTTGTTTGATTGCGGGATAATTATAGGCGAGAGGTTGTTTGGGCGAGGAGGGAGGAGAGGGATATTTGAGATGATGAGTGGGAAGATGAGGGTCGGATTACTTGCGTTCATGTTATACTTGGGGATATAGGCGTGTTTTTGTAAAGAGGGCAATGCTGGAGTGTGAGAAGAAGCGACAGAGCATTTGCAACGACTAGTTTCTTCATGTGCCACGTGCGTGCATTGTCATCGCCATCTACGAAAAATTTACCTAGAGGCAACAAAAGTTTACTAAAAAATCCGTGGAGGTTCTAGTTGTATGGCTAGTCGTGCGTACAAAGGATTAATGAAGCTAATCCGATATCATGTCCTCAAAAGGCGACAACTCTTTCCTGCTGTGTGGGAAATATCGAATACAATAAGTCATGATGAGTTCGCAACGATGTATCGATTGATGGTTCTTGTTATGAAAGAATAGAGGAAAAGAGGACCGAAAGATGTGAGGTCATGTCTGCAGTATAAAAAAGGCATATTGCTTCAATGCTGACAGTGCTGGAACTCGATCTCAGGTGGCAAATTTCAATCGAAGCCTGATAATCTATTCGATCAACGAGAATGTACATTTTATTCCAGCATGAAATCCCAAATGCTTGCTAAAGCGAACAATCGAGACAAGTTACAAGACAAGTTACAAGACGCAATAGAAGACCATGAACTTTTTCCAACCAAGCCCATGCAATAACATTTTGCTCATACTTTTCATTCAAACTCAACCAGTGTTTTCTCTGTAAACAAGCTGGTCATCAAACATGCACGATGGACCCGTAGCAATGTCATCCTGCCATACCGCCTGGTCCAACGGTGTCCGCGGCTCATCGGCAGTGGGACTCGAGCTATGGGTGAAAATGCTATCTGACGAGCTCTGATGAAGCAAATACGCCGTGTCGGTAATGGGCATACCCTGCGACATCGGGCTACCCATGTAAGATGACGCAGAAGAGAAGAGATCCATGTTGCAGCCATCAGGTATAGGACTGTCAGGGAAATCGCTGTTCTGGGATGTGTAGCCAAAATCAGTCTCGCTTCCGGTGTATGGGGAAGGCGGAACCGAGGACGGGAAACCGTAGCGATGGTACGAGGGGTCAAAGGCTGTGGGGACCGACCGCGACATGGGTTGAGCGCTGAGGTAGGCTTCGTGCATATGGGCAGATCGCTTCAACCGCGCGGCACGACGGGCTGCTTGACCACCCTTTGCGCCAGAAGCCTGACGTTGGGGCTGGGGTTGATGAGTGCGATTGCTGCGCTTGTTGGGTTGCTTGCTACGGTATCGCGTTGTCGACTTGACGCCTTCGCGAATCGCTTGCTCAGTAAGGCGCCACATGAAGCCTCTCCGCGCCTCGTCGCCGGGCTGGTCGACTTTCTCGAATGCCTGTCACTCTGTCAGCCATTAGTCGACCAGGTCACTACAAGATAACGTACGCCATTCATTGATAGATTATGCCTGATACTGTTCTGCCATCCTTTGGTTTCCGAGCTGCTGGCCCTGTCTGTGTTTTTTCTGAACCAATCGTAGATGTCACGCAATATCATAGTATGATTTGGCGCATTCAAGAGCGCACGGTAGATCAACTGCGCGTACGGCTGCTCCCTGTCGAATATTCCAGCATCTCCGGTGTCAGGGTCCCGGGTGTGTCTGAGAGTTTTGTCATGAGGGGCAGAGCCTTGTGCCGGATGGGAATAAGGACTCTGGTAGTGATTGTAGTCTTCGACTTTGATGGGACATGGGTATTGGGGGTGATCATAGTCATTGCTAAGCTGCATCAGCTGGCTCTTGATCTCATGATCTGATGGATCCATGGCATCATGATGCTTTGGCGGCTCGATGTGATAGGCGTTGGGCGGGAATGAGTCCGGCACGGAGAGGTCGTGGGGCAGGCCGCTCGAGTTGAAGGCATTGTACGAGCGGGGACAAGTCGCGGCGGAGTACTGCGCAGGGCAGGTGAGCTTGTAGTTGCTTTCGTAAGACATGCCGTGCTGGGGGTAGTGGTAGCCATGGCCTGGGGCAGATGAAAAGCCATTGGCTGCGTGGTAGGCGTCACCGCTTTGAGTGGCGGGACTGAAGCCAAAGCCTGCTGGCACAGGACGGGGCATGCGTTGTTGTTGTTCGTCAAAGTTCATTCTCGGCTGCGAGGAGGGGCAGGTGGTGAATGAGGCAGATGCGTCGGCGGTGGCGGCCAGGGAAGGCGCGTCCCCAGGTAATGTAGTGGAGGACTGAAATGGCAGTGGGCTGTGAGGACGGAAGGGAAGCGCAGCACAAATGGGGCTCTCTGGCGGCGGGCCAGCGTCGAGACGGCAGTGTGAGTCTCGGGCAGCAGGACAATGGGGTGACTGGGCATGTGGCATCGTTGTGTTGTCGTCCTTTTACCGGCCTAAACGGTGAAAGGCGGGCGTGTCGATACGGGGGACGGGGAAGAGAGTGCCAGCGCCGCGTGTGAAACCAGCAGAGTGGCGCAGAATGGACAGAGACGACAGTGAAAGGCAGTGCTGGGAAATGAAGCGAAGAGCCAGACATTTACATGCTCGCCCGGCCCACAGCGAATGGCATTTGATCAGCACCATTGTATTGTCATTGTCATCCGGATGTCTCCCTAGACGGGTTCCTACTGCACTGCGGGCTTGACGCTGCAGCGGCGGGCGACAAGGCAAACAAGAAGTGAGCGGTCATGGCAAAGGCAGAGAGCATCTTCACACCACCCACCACCACCACCACCATCACCACCACGCTTGGCACTGATGCAGATGCAGGGCTGGTATCACGGGAACCACAGCTGCCGCTATGCCATCATTGCCTCCCGGGCCGAGACGGAGCCTGGACATGCCCATTGCACTGCTGCTTTTGACAGTCGGAATGACTACCTGTGCTACCGCCACAGCCAACGATTGTTTCGTCGGCACAGGGACGACGGGAGCCTGCATACCATCTAGACTATTTGCAACATGGGACCATCCGAGCCCCGGGCCTGGTCTGAGCCCAGATCCTCCCATCTTCGATCTTGCTGTCCCCTCCCAGATGCTGCCCATGGTCATCATCCCCCGTCCATGAAACATCTGCCACCCCAGTGCCCATCGTCGTCATTGGCAACCGACCACAACGAATGTCCAACAAGCAGCAAGCGCTTGCCCACCCTAGAGCGGCTGTGCATGGAATGTGCAAGCACATCTACAGTAGCTTGCCAGTGCCATATATGCGCAAGGCACAGGGATGCTACCAGGTAGCCCGCGCCTGCAAAGAGGCTGCCGCGAGCAGCCCTTTGGGGACAGTCTCCACACCAGCCTGTAACACAACCCTCCAAGCCTTGATTCCGGTGAAGCCGCCTCAGACTCCTCGTTGGGCCTCATCGAGAAGTAGTGTTTGTTGCCATTGGCCAGCGGTCATGGCAAGACCATCACCGCTTAGGTACCTACATACACCGCCAGCGGTTCCTGTTATCAAGATGCTGCGTTGGTCACCGCCAGCACACAACGTCACAGGCAGCGCCGTAGTCGGGACATGTCTGGCATCCATGCCATGCTGGCTATGATATAGTGCCTATCATTGCGCGAGACCTTGTGCAATGCCTGTCATGCACCCCGTTCCATTGTCGGCAGGCCATGCAAGAGAAAGAGCCAGCTGCTCCTGGGTCGACTGCACAGCCTTCATGTCCAAAACGGAGACTACGTCTACTTTCGATAGTATATCTGCCACATGTCAGCTGTGACACCCTTGTCGTTAGATTTGTTGGCCTACCTTCTTGAACTGGAAGTGGAGCTGCAGAATACCCTATTATGCATCAGCAACGCATCGAGTAAGCCACAACTGTTGAGCCTACCTTGTCAAAGCTACTCTTGAACCCGCGTTCTCTCTTCGCACTGTAGTCCCATTCTTTATCAACGATCCTAAACGCAATGTCTTCATAGGGCGGCCCGGCAATAAAGCGTATCAGGCACGTGTCGTCCTCACCAGCAGGTGCAAACGACTGTCCCTTTTTGCGGCCATGCTCGCGCTCAATCTTGTATGTGGGCGCCTTGCTCTTGTCAATGAGGTCAGGGTAGAAGATGTTGAACTTGTAGCCTTGTACCACCTTGGGTGGCGGATTATCATGATCGTAATGCGTCTGGTTGTACTTGTTCCATTCGTAGCCCATCTGGACGCGATTGAAGTAGCGGGGCTTCCTAGGCTTGTAGCTCCCATCCGAGTGTGAACGGACAGTGGTGATCTCTTCTTCAGCATTGAAAACCTCTTCACCCTCTTCAACTCCTCGCGCCACTTCTCGTTCGTACAGCGCCATGGTCGCCTTAGAGTAGTCTTCTCTGTCGACGGGCGCAAACCGTGAGGCGCTTGTCGTCACGGCCTGGCTTGTAGTAGGCTGGCTACTGGCTACGGCTTTGTCGCTCGTTTTGGTCTGGCTAGGAACGTAGCCGACCTTTTGAATCTTGCGCCGCTCAGCCGTCACGTGCTCGAGGAATGACTTTTCTTCGACCTGCGGCAGGGCCTTATCTTCGGCACGCAGCTTCAGCATGGGCTCTGGATCCATGGCTGTGTCGTACGCAACTGTTGTAGGCTGCAGCTCGGCCGTCTCGTCATTGCCTTTGCGCATGGAATATATGTTGGCTTGTACAGATGCAGCCGCCTCGGCCTGCTGCTTGCGCAACGTCTGCAGTCGCTCCTTGACAATCTCCTGCGACACGCGCCGCAGCTTTGCCTTGGCTTTCCACACGCGCAGACTTCGCAACAACTGTTCCCAGTAGTCATAGTCGATGGGCTCGTCTGAGTCCAGCTTTCGCTTGACCTGCACTTCGAGAGCCTCGAGCTGTTCATATGACTTTGGTGAGAGCAACTGGTCAATGTCGGCAGCTACAGAGCTTGTGCCTCGTGCCTCGGAATTTGTTGTCCTAGACTTGCGCCGGATGTCTTTGCAGATGACTTTGAGTGACTGGTCCAGTCAGCTATGTCAAGGCGGTGTATAGGAGAAATACTCACATTCCAGTATTCACGGTTACTCTTGCTTGTCTCGAGCGTGAGGTAGTTCTCAATCTCCTTCTCCAGCTCTGCAAGATCCTCGTTGTCCAAGCCCTCGAGCACACCCTCGGGGTCCACAATATCTAACTCGTGATCCTCCACCTCTTCGTCTAGTATCGATTTCTCGGCAGGGTCAATGAAACGCAGCGTGACGGCTAGCCAGTCAATGGGCTTTGCGCGTCCGCCTCTGACGCGTAAGGCTGCCTTCTTCTTGGCCTGTTGAAGCACGAAACGATCCTCGTCTGCTACCCAGGCCTCTTCTGCCGCGTTGGTCGAGCGTTTGGAGGCATTGTCGTAGGATCGCGACTCGGCGGAGCGCTTTGCCGGAATCGATGATGCTGGCCCATTGCTTTGGGCGCGGCGACTGCTATCATTTCGCCATGGGGGTTCACGTGACGACATGTTGTATGTGTAATTAGGTGATGGTTTCAGTGTCTATGGGATATGGCTGTCACAGTGCGAATGTTTAGGTAAAGACAGCGATCGCGAAATCTTTGGCCGAGGCTGGTGACGTACGGACCTCCTTCCGCACCCACAGGGATCTGTTCCGCTTTTAGCAACAAAGCTTGGCGCTGCTGCCTCTCTCTACCACGTGATGTTCTCTTCTGGAGCTCCATGGTTCTCGTCTGCCTGTTTCTAGACGTTTCAGCCATTGAATATGGGCACGACTGCTACTTCTCATTTCTCATTCTATTGACATGTCTTGTTGGCGCGTTCTGAGGCTCTGCGAGCAACCAGATAACCGACATGTACCCCAGCTACTTGTCAAGCCTGTCTTCTCCCCGGACTCGTACATCGTGCATCTGACAGATTTGAGTAACGTGTGGTCCGAAGAGTTGAGTTTGGATGATATCGTGGACCGAGCTTCGCGGGAGCAATCGCCAATTGAAGTAAGCAAACAGGACACAGCGCAGCTTGGTGTCCTTCTAGAAAACATCGCAAAGCCGCTGAGCAATGCAGACGATGCACTCTGCCGGATGACTCGTAACGGACAAGATGGGATCATCTTGCATGCGAGCATTATCCTTCCAGAGCCACTCGGCCGCTTGTCATGGAAGTTTCAGCTCCAGAAGCGTACATCTACAGTCCTCAAAAACGAGCTCATTCTCCCGCTGCTTGTATCTTCGCATATTCAGAATGAACGAATTGCTGGTCTCATAAAAACAATCACTAGCAAAGACAAGGCAATCAATCGGCTGCTAGATCAATTTGAGTCCAACAATCTGGACTTGACTGCCGCTTTCCCCGGTGCGGGTAGCATGAAGACGGGAAGGCGAATGATCAAACGTGAGCAAGCCGCAAAGCACGTTCCCGCTTTGAAGCTATTTCAGGAGGCAGTGTGGAGGAAAGAGACTGGGCAGTTAGAAGACTCGGAACTAACTTCACTGGGCTTGTTCCAGGAAGCGCTGGCCCAGAGCACCCCCACTGTGCCACAACAGCTAAAATCGGATGAATCGGATAACTTGGCATCCTGCTGGTGGACTTCAGTGCCAACACATTTGACTGTATCGAAGGCTTCAGCGAATAGCAAGACAAGGAAGTCTGCGGTACTTTCCAACGTAAGGGATGCTTCAGAGTCGAGTGAAGAGGAGACAGAAGATGAGTTTGATACTCACGAGCATTTCAAAGTAAGCGGAAGACGCGTTATCATTGAGTAGCATGACTAACGTATTTGTCGACTCGTAACCTTCCTTCTAAGCCCATGAGTGTCACGAAAGCGCCGGGACAGAAACCCCCTCCAAACAGACACGATGAAGATGAGAGCGACAGCACTGAAGAAGAGCTTGACCTTGATACACCAGCAATAAGCTGCAACCCAACCCAAGTTCAAGAATCTGTGCAATCTCAATACGGAAAATCGCCCACACTTGAACATCTCCCCTCTGCCCCAACAATTGCTTCCTCTGCGAAGAAGGCAAATGTCGGTAGCTTTCGCATAGGAGGAGGGGGAAGGGGAACATCGTCGTCGCCGTCGCCAAGTATTACAGATGAAGAGGCCAACCCTGACGACGTTTTGACCACGAGAGAAGTAGCCCCTCCATCTCCCAAGCAAGCAGATGTCGCCTCTACACCAAAGAAATCAAAAAAACATTTTAGAATCGGTGGGAAAGGAAGAGGTAGCCAGGACGGTGCTTCACAGCGCGCCGCTACGATTTCCCCGAGTAAAATTCGCACGAGGGCTACGCAATCACCTACTGCAGAGCCACCATCATCACCACTACCGCACAGTGTAACTAGAGAAATGACAACAGCTGAAGACGAGGTTGAGGAAACACCAGAAGAAAAGGCAGAGCGGCGGCGTGCTGAACTTAAGCGAAGGAATGAGGAGGCAGCTAAAAAGCAGGCTCAGCAAAAGAAAAAGAAGAGGTTCTGAGCTACCGTATTTGGTGTGAGTTGGGACACACCTCAGCATTCCACCCTCAAGCCAGTGATTTTACGTGTCAAGTTTGCTGGTTGACCTTGGCACCTTTCTTGAACTTCCATTTGGTAGATTGTTTGCCCACGTATAGCAATTCAGCTCGTTGTGAAAGTACTGGTAGAATCATATCAAACTATCCTTTCACTCCTCATCCCCGCATCTTCACTCACTGGTGCACACTCTTTACATGTTCGTTTGTTGTGTACTAAGCCCTTTCCAATCATGTATCACCATCAAAACTGCACTTGCCGCCTTATCGAGTCCGCTTTGTTGCTTCTGTCTTGATGGTACTATTGCCTTGGATCTTTCCTAGAGAAGGAAGCGAACAACGCCTACCCAGAAACATGTGTATCTACCATTACTGCTATTTTTCAGCTTGTCGACACGGCCAACTTACCAGAGTATCCTACTGCGACAAAGCAACAGCACTTTTACTGTATGTATCCTCACTCACCCATTTTTACTTCCCAAGTTTGCTGACCTAGTTAGTAACAGCCGTCCACAGCGCATCACGGATGCAAGTAGTAACCGCGGAAAGCAACTCACTGTATCGCCTTTACGTTCCTCAACATCAGAGAACAACAGAATTAGTTCGCCACGTATGGATAATCCGCCACAGCACCAGTTGCAGCATGATAACACGATGTCATCCGTTACACCATCTGAAGCTAGTCGCTTCTCAGTTTCGCATAACATCGTTCAGAACCAAGATGAGGATGCAAATAGCGATTCTGCTTTGGTTATACAATCTGATATTATTGAAGAAGAACGTGTCAGGCGTGAGCATATGCTTAATCATGCTCGCTCCCTTTTGGATAGCCAGGGTCTGGACAATGTCTGCATTGACGTTGCATTGAGTACGGAATCCGCACTACAAATTGATACTGCAGATAATGGTAAGAAATCCGCGTGCATCACGTTGTCCAAGTCGAATGCCAGTCGCTCTAACGTCTTCCCAGTTTCTTTCAATAACCTTCACGGCTCATCCAGTGGCTACGCAAGCCCAAAGATAAGCTGTACTGTTGGATCTTCTCAAGGGCGAGTTCAAGAGCATATTGAACATTCGTCTGTCCCACAAGCGGCCGAGCAGTCTCAAAGAAGTCCCCGTAAACCGATTCCCGCTCATTGGCTTCCCAAAGCTGCCTGTCCAAACCTTGCGACTGCGCAACGTGCGAAAGAACGAACATTGAAGAAAAGCTCCGAAAATGGCTCCCCAAGATCTGCAAAGGGAATTCGTCCAACGCGGAGCTCTGTCGACCTGGGCAGATCCCATGGCAGAGAAGGTACAACATATCTGACGAAAGAGGCCCTGGAAGCCGTTGAGACCACAAGGACATCCCCAAGAAAACCTCCAAGTTCTGTCAAATTTACTAGTTCTGCTGCGAAGCCAGCATGGAGCAGTCCTACATCGCCGCTACGCAGTGTTGCAAGCCAGCAGTCCGGATGCTCGCTCAAGATGTCACCCACAAAGTCATCGCATCTTCCAAATAAGTTTACGGCAGCAGATCATTCGCGAGTATCAAATAGTGTTACTGCCTCCATAAGCAAGACTTCGTTTCATACCACGGATAGCTCACTGGTAAGAAACTCTACGAACACCGAACCTGACTCCCGCCAGCTATAGAGGATCTTGCCGATGTAGACACATCCATACTTGATGTGAATGCTGACTATGATGATTAGCATAAACCTCCGAATGTCAATAAATCATTGGTCTCGCCAGTGAAATTGAAGAGTGAGAACCAGCCAATCTCCAAGACCAAAGTTTCTCTTCGTATCGTTGTGCCGAACGCAAGTACAAGCCAAGATAAAGATCTTAAGATATTGAGCCCAAAAACTACGAATACCTCTGACAGTCATGTCTCGATGAGTCCGGTTTCTACCACAAACATATCCCGAATTCCTCGCGTTGGCATAACAAATAAGGAACAGAAATCATCTCGTTTGCCCGCCCTGAAGCGAGCAAAGTCTGTAGTAGGGACCATGCGATCAAAAGCAGAGGTCCCCGTAGACATGCCTGTGGTATTGAATGAGATAATTCGGGCCAATACTCCCATGTCCATCACTTCAGGTGGTCATTCGGACGAAAATACGCATACAGATCCCGTCGACTCTCAGCAGCAGAATCTTGACCTCGAAACGAATCAAGAGGGAAGTTCCTGGAATGTTATTTCTGAAGGCAGTCAGGCAGTGCGCGCTCGTTCCCATACGTCAGCTGAGCCAACGGACCATGTCGGAATTGGTTTGCGTCAGGATGAGAGCCGTCATCCTGAATCCGACCTATTTAAACTATGTGGGTATCCAGGCCACGTCCCAAGTACTCCACCATATTTGAAGACTTTCCACAGGGCTGCAAGAAGCTCTTTTGAGCAAGAATCTCGGAATGAAGTGGAACCGACGCTTATGGATTCTGCGATAGTTTACAGCCTTAGAAAAACGGATGACTTTGGTAAGAACCTCCCGGCCCCAGCACCAGTCAATTCCCTCTCAGTCTGATGACTCATATTCTGAACAGGCAATATTTGCATAGATGGTGCCTCCAACCACGTAGGTTCTACAGTTTCCGAACATGTACATGTTGGTGAAAATGCTGAGCCGACACATGGAACCGATGAGGGCGGTACATCTAGCCCTAGGAACCAAGGCGACAATGAACATCCAGCACACACTAGTATATGCTCGGATCTTCGCCCGACTGCTACTGAATTTGTACCCAAAATGATGTTTACATCTGGCTCGTCCGAGCGTGCGACCGACCCCACACCTATAGCTCCCCTTCAAGATGTTCCTGGCCTCCCAGACATGACGGTGCTCGATAGAAATGGCATCCCGTTTCTCTGGTACATGTACGGCATCCAGTTTGCCTACGAACAGGGTTTCAGGAATGGCCGGCCCAAGTCTCCCCGGAAGTTCAAGCCTAAGAAAATACGCGGTCTAGCATTGTCATCTGACGATGCTCCGCACACCCGTCCTCATGATAATCCTGTTGTTGTAATGAGAAAACTGGATTCAATGCCTGCACCAGCAAAGCAGGAGGTGCCCTCTACAGAGCTTGTGTTGCGCCCGACTGTACCTGCTCACGACCCCTGCCCTGTTTACAGTCAAGAAACAATTCAGCCAAACTCCCAAGATGACGGACCAATGCATGAAGCTTGCGGTACAGTGACAAACCAGCCTTTCACAAGACAATTCGATAAGATCGCCGAGTACACTGGTACCAGGGGCAACAATACTCCCCGCCACTACAACATTGACTTCACCAAGATACAAAACGCCGGTTTTCCCACTGGTCCACGCAGCATGCAGGGTCACGTATACCACAACCCGTCTCGATACGACTATCGGAATCACCGTCGTCTCGGAAACGGTTTGTATGGTGGTCGAGGCAATGCCGCTGGCATTCCCATTGGAGCTACCGCGCCATTTCCCAATCCGGTCCCTCCTCAAGGTCGTCCGGATCAGATGCACAACCACAATGGAGGCGCGAGCGACTGTACTGAGTACTCTATTGGAATGGAGGCATGCGGCATGATCGATATAGTATCTGCGACTGAATTGATTGGTGGTCGACCATGCAATGCGTGTGATCCTAGCCACTAGCTTGTCCTACGGCTCCTATGAAATTGGTATCGTTGGAGAAAAGCTGAACAAAGCAGTGGTTGTGGAATAGTTTCTGGGTAGGGAGATTGAAGGGAAAGAAGCATGTATTTGGTATGACGCTGTATATGGTCTTTAATCGCTGTATGCACCAGCGTCACGTTTGTACCTCAACATGGATTAGTGGAGGAGAGCGATGGAGTTGGGTTGGTTTTAGTTTAGAGCAATGCATGGTCATGAATGATGTTTGATTACCACCATTCCACCCTTGTACTAACATACTCTCACAATAATGTGTATTATTGAAAGAAAAGATAAAGTCACGAGACAAGTCGAGATGGCAGAAGAGGCGAGTCGGCAGGTCGGCGAAAGACAGGGGTGACCATGTGGGGCTGACTAATCGGCTAGTGGGGCCTCTTGAACAAAACCCGCGGTATCGCCGCCATCTTCTCTTCTTTTTCCATATAGAAAGTTGCACCCACGAAATTTGACCTCACTCTTTGCTCCTCCATAAGATTGAAGTTGACATAAGCTGGGGAGAACAAACTCTTTGCTCCCAAGAACTGCCTGCCCTTACCGCATGGGCTGACGGTCCCGTAGCTCCGAGACATCCTACTACGTATAATAAAAATTTTCGTCTTGAATCACTCGCTCGTTTTGCCGAGGAACAATATACCTACTCGTACAACCTCATACGGACGGCACGACGCGATGGATGCATAAACGCTCTCAAAGCGATAGCAAAGGTCGCTTTTGAGAGCGCGACATAATACAATGGCGCGGAAGAAGAAGGCGATTGACCACATGGTCAATCGCATGAGCAAAGTGCGTCTGGTCGATGAGCAGGCCGCTTTGGCCGCGCCACCGAAACAGCCGGAGCGCAGTAAAGACTCAGGCAGTAAGGACTCGGAAGAGGTCGAGCGCCAACCCTTCCGCTTCTTCGATCTCCCCTACGAGCTGCGATTGCGTGTGTACGAGGAACTTCTCATCTTCCCCAAGACCATCGACCTCGACCCGTCCAACTACTGCACCGTCGCCCCTGCCCTCCGCCTCTTCCTCGCAAGCCAGCGCATGCACGACGAAGCAGCCCGCGTCTTCTACGGCCGCAACACCTTCCGCGTCTTCCCCATTCATGGCCGCTACATCAACCGCAAGCACCCACTACTTGCCTGGTTCCCTCGTAAATACCGCGTCCTCCTCACCCGCCTCGAACTGCGTCTTGGCCCCGGCTTCACGAAACCGCCGAAATGCTGGGTCGTCGATAGCCGGCTCGGCCTCGCAGTGGTGAAAAAGGTATACCTACTCAAGATCTTTGTAGAAATCGATCCTGCATCCAACGAGGTATTTGAGGGGTTCCGCGTGGGCAATAATTTCTACACGGAGTATTGTGTCGGCTTGCTGAGAGGCTTGCTTGCGCAGGTGCCGTCGATCAGTGATGTCGAGTTTGATGCGTATCCCAGTGTGTCCAAGTCGAGTCCGCTGTTAGCGGGCTTGGTCGAGGAGACGAGGCTGAACCAGAAGCATATTGCTTGGGGCCCTGAGAGGGGCTGGGATAAGATTGTTGAAGTTGATCTGGCGAATGTGCTGCAGAAGATGGGGCTTTAATTGCGCCTCAACGTTCTGTCTAGATTGTATATGTTCTTACAAGTACAGCGCTTATGACTTTTATGTGTAGATATGTAGCCTACGAATTTCTCAATGACCATCACATTCGCATATGAATGTTCTTCTTCCGTTCACTTCTTCGATAACTCATACATCGCATCCATCCCCTTCACCTCGGACTCGCCTTGGCCAGCCATGCCTTCAACCCTTCCGCATGCCTCTTCGGCAACCCCTCCCACCTCCCCTCATCATACGTCCCCTCAATCCCCCTCACGAGATTCTGCGCCTTACGCAACACCACCCTCTTTGCCCCAGCCCACGGCGTCTTATCCACAAACGCATCCGCCTCCCCCACCATCTCCATCCTCTTATCCCTAACATCCTTCCCATCCTGCTCCTCCACCTCACACAACCGACAATTGCACCTGAACCCCCACGTCTTCTCCAAAAACGCCTGGCGCGCCTCGTAATCGAGGGCATCGTGGTACGGGAAGAAAATCTCCTCACCAGCTTTTATCGGTGCCGTGGCGCGGATAACGAGGAAATCGCCGATGAATTCCTTTTCAGTGTTCGCAAGACACGAGTGATTAATGTACGCGGCGTGTTTCCACAGTCCGGTGCTCGCACTGCGAGCCGTTTCCTCGCCGAATTGCGCACCGGGGCTGAATGCGTTGCGGGACATGATGTCGTGGACGCGGAACACGTCTACAACGGGTCCATCGGCGGTTTCGAAGATATCGGCGGTGGAGGCTTCGCCTTGGTAGTCGCCGTAGAGCTGCATCAAGTGCGATGTCTGAGAGGGCTGGTTTAGGCATTTTTGCACGAGCGACTTGGAAAGGCCGACGGGGGAGACGCGGATGTCGTCGTCGCGGATGTCGTAGGTCATTGCGACGAGGGCATCGGGCTCGTGGGACCAGACGACGCTGAAGGCTTTTTCGCAGAGGACGAGGGCGCCTGGGGCGAGGTCGACGGCGGCGTAGAGGCCGCGGCCTTTGCCTGGGCTGTCTTTTACGACGGTGTTTTTGGTGAAGTTTGCGGCGTCGACGCGGGATCGGGTTTTGGAGATGGTGGTTCGCAGTTTCATTAGGTCGTAGGATCCTGTTTCTTCTTCACGGAGACGTGCTTCTATCTTTTTGAGTTGGAGTTTGGCGTCTCTATCGTCGGGTGTGAGCTTTTGTTGCTCTTGGAAGAACTCCTTTGCTTCTTGCCATCGGCTTTGGCTGTATGCGGCCGATCCGGCGCGGAAGTAGGCTTTGCTGTCGAGCTCTTTGGACTTTTGGTCGTCTTTGCCGGTCAGTGAGGCGCGCGCATCCGTCTTGACTTCGTCCAGTTGACCTAGAAGCAGATTTACATATGCGCGGTTACGATAGATATCTCGTGCTAGATCTGGATTGGATTTCGTTACAATTTCCTGGTTCGCAATCGCTAGGCCGGCCGAGTACTTCTCATGGGCTAGGGGAAGGTCCTGTTCCTTAAGCGCAGTATTGCCCTGAGTCTTGAATCTAGTGGCTGCCTTTTCTGCCTTTTCTGCGTCCTCAAACTTTTTGGGATTTATAACGTCTTCGTGGCAAACAACTAAATCTGAGGGGTGGTCAATCCGAAGCGTGGGTTCGCCCTGATCTGTAAGAGTAAAGTATGGCTCCTTGATAATAAACTGTTTGGTCGACTCCAGAATGTCCTCTCCATATCTTGATTTGTGGAGTAGAATTTCTAACCGCTCCGCATCAGTGCCTGCTTCATTCTGCACCATAGTCCACGATCTAGCTACCAGCGTGACTACTGGACTGTGTCGCTTGACGACAAGCTTGCGGCCTCGGTGGTGTGTTTCCATCTTCAGATCAGCCATCTCCATCGGCTCCAATTCTGACAATGGCCTTGTGCATGGAGGATAAGGCTGTCCTACACCAATAGCTGGTATGGTATTTGCTGTTTTCCCTTGAGTTTCCATCATATCTGGATCTGGTGCGCCACCCATATCTGCCATAAGAGCTGCACCAGTGGCTGCTTGATGTGCAGCGGTTTTGTCTCTCGGTTCCTTTGCGTTGCCATGTTGCTCAGTGCACTTCTTTAGTCGATCCTTGACTGTGCTCTTGATGCGCTCCGCCTCTTTTTCTGTGAGATAAATGGTGTTGTCACCTTGGGGATTGCTCGCCATTTTGAGAGTAGTTGATTGGGCGCAATGCTATCTGATCTGTAGCTAATGCGCGGTCGTTGTAGTCTGCTTTAATTCCAAAATGCAACCAGACGTCCTCTGACGTTGTTTGATTGCGAAGAAGGAAAACAAGCAAATGTTTCCGAAATGCAATCTCGCGCTTGAGCTGACAGAAAAGACGGTACGTAAGTCACTTTTAAAGATAGTGTAAGTGCCTGTAACATAAATCTCTGACGCAATCAAATTTTGCAATTACTTGTAAGTCAAGACGGGGTGAATTTGGAGGGGCTGAGGCTAGACGAATTTTGTTATCGATAAATGTGGGGTCGGAGGGCGACACCCTGCAGAAGTGGAAATAAGAGTGATAAATTATCCATTAGCGAAACATACCCTCAGCTTGGTGAACCATTTGTATCGTAACACCAATTCTCTATTTCTTTACTTCCAAATACTTGAGCTTTCGGTACCTGCCTTCTTCCCTTCTTGATACGTCTCACTCAAACTGTTGTACAGACCTTTTACCCTCATAATCTCTTTGAGTAATCTCTCCCTCTCGCTCTCATCACTAACCTCACCTACCACATCCGCAAAGCTCTTCGCAGTAAAGAACTTATTCTTCCGATTGTAGAGCTGCTTTCGCTGAGCCTGCTCTTCACTCTCCCCCTCTCCCCTAACCCTAAATACTTCCTGTAGAATGTCGATGTCGTACGGAATCCCAAATAGATCTCGACTATCTTCGTACGTGAAGAGATAGTAGAACTCGTTGAAACCGGCCCAAGTGATGCCGCTCAAGCATAAAGAGCAGGGCTCGTGTGTAGCGAGGAAGATGCAGTCTTTTGCTGGATGAGGACGCGTTGCTGGGTCTGGAAAGTCGACCATGCAGAATTGTTGGATGCAGTTGATCTCGCCATGAAGTAGTGGGGAGACGCGCTCATTGTTTGTGGCAAGGGTGTAGGGTGTGAGATCCTTGCGAGATAGGATAGCTGCACCGAAGAGCTTGGAACCGCTCGAAACTCCTTGTTGTGTGAGGGGAATAATGCTTTCTTCGATTGTTGAAAGGAGTTTAGAGACTAGCTTCTCTGGTGTTAGGCTTGTTGTCTCGATATTGGCTGACATGGCGACTGAAGTATAAGGAGATGTTGGCTGTTTTCCAAATTGGAAGATTGAAGATGACGGATTTCGGTTTCGATACAATCACTTGCTTTTATTGATTAAGAACATAGAAAAGGTGGTACTTGGTCTGTCGGCCGGAGTCTACCGCTACGCAAGGCTTGAGGCGGGGCCTTCCGATGACTTGATAGCGGGGCATCGCTTTTGCACACACGTAAAATTTGGGATTTTCAGTTTATATTAGTGGAAGCTCTGAGGAATGAGCGGTACTTATGGACAATTCCATCTGAATAGCACGTATGGTTTACAATTCTTTTGTCAAAAATCGTGGATATGATAGCCACGAAATTCAGTGGGCTGACGTATCCAACATAGAAAATAGCATCTTGCTAAATTTCGAACATTGATCTTGAATTACGCTCAGATATTGAATAACAATCAAAATCATTCTCAATATTTACAAATCAACAAATTCTCCCTTGAGTAGCGGGTCATCGCGGACTTGTCGGAGGTAGCTTTCTACCTTTGTTGTCAACGCAGGTACATCGAAGCCAAAATACTTGTAAGCAGCCTTTCCAGGTAGACTGTGACCAAATCTCTTCATGCAACATGCAGCGTCAGCGTATCGCTCCCAGCCGTTAGGCGCAAACGGCTCGATGACTACCGCGGGGATACCAAGATGTCTCTTGAGTGTCTCCCGTTTGTATTGAACCGGCTGATTCTCAAAAAGCCGCTGGCATGGGAAGCTGACCACGCGCGCCTTGATGTTTTTTGGACCCAGTTCTTTGGCAACATCGAGTGCGTGATGCAGTTCAGCGCCGACTCCAATCAGTGTCACGTCAGCATTCTCAACCTCTTCGAGTACGTATGCACCTTTTGCGACCATGTCTCTCTTTGTTTGCGCCAATTGTGGCAGTGTATGTCTCGATGTTGATATGATACTGGGCGTCTTCTTCGCCTCGATGGCTGTGATCCATGCGCCTGCTGTCTCTTCACTGTCACCAGGTCGGATGTACAGCAGATTGGGCATGGCTCGGTACAGATTTGCGAGTTCGATAGGCTGATGTGTGGGACCATCTTCACCCATTCCGATACTGGGCTTGATTAGTTGAGGGACACGAGAAAGTGGGAGAGATGCATACCTGTCGTGCGTTGCTGCGTGTATGACTTGAAGTTGCTGCAAAGCGCCCATGCGGACTGCCGGTGCAGCGTAAAGATAAAACATGAAAAAGGAAGAAGTGACTGGGATGAAAGTGTTTGGCGCAAAAGCTGCAATGCCATTTGAGATTGCAGCCATTGCATGCTCACGGACACCGTAGTGGATATACCGACCACTGTAGTTACCATTGATACCACATGTTGTTTTTAAGTCAGGCTACGAGTCATTAGCAAGGTGCGAAGGCACGAATGGGTGAACGACTTACATGCTGGAAGTCAACTTTGCCTTTCCAAACCATGTTGACCGAAGGTGTCAAATCAGCAGTGCCAACCACGAAGTTGTTGATCTTCTCCGCGAGCGTATTGAAAACAAGCCCAGATGACTTTCTCGTTGCTGTCGGCGCATCTGGGAATGTCTCTGGTACCAGAGACTTCCAATCTTCAGTCAGACGGCCTTCTACTCGACGCTTAAAGTCTGCACCTTCTTCCGGATATTTGGCTTCATACTCTTTGACCTTCTTTTCCCATGATCGCACTAGCTCTTGACCTTTGGCTGGAATGTCCTCAAAGAATTTGCGTACATTGTCGCTGATGACAAAGTGTTCGTCCGGGTTGAACCCGTATGTTTTCTTCATGTTCGCCACATCGGATGTACCGAGAGCTACCCCATGAGCAACGGCGTCACCAGCGACCGCACTGCCAACACCGATGATTGTTCGGACATTGATGAAGGTAGGCTTGTCAGTCGAAGATCGTGCCTTGTTCAGGGCCTCGACAAGACCCTCAACATCGAAACAGCCATCTTCGACATCAATTACATCCCAACCACATGCCCTCATTTTGGTGTTGACGTCCTCGGTATTGGTTAGATCGACTGAGCCATCACAAGTAACTTGGTTGTTATCGTATATAACGGTAAGGTTGTTCAGCTTCAAATGGCCGGCAAAGGAAATGGCTTCCAAGGCTACTCCTTCTTGTAAACACGCGTCTCCAATCATACACCAGGTGTGATTCGATACGACATCAAAGTCGGGCTTATTGTATATGGCTTGGAGATTTTTCGAGGCCACAGCCAGACCCACTGCATTTGCTACACCTTGGCCCAATGGGCCGGTTGTCACTTCGATGCCTTCGTGTTCGATTTCTGGATGGCCAGGACATAGTGCATCGACTCGTTCCGAGTGATATGACTTGAGCTGGTCAAAAGTCATGGCTTTGTATCCTGTGAGGTGGAGAAATGTATACTGGAAGAGACATGTATGACCTTTTCTTGATTAGTTGTGATTGGGACTGTAACAGTGATTGTATCATGCATACCATTTGATAGCACGAATCGATCGCGGTTGAAGTAATCTGGGGTGTGAGGTGCATAGCGCATGACATATTTCCACAAAGCAACGCCGATTGCTGCCATTCCAATGGCTCCTCTGAAGACTTCTTAGCTATAGCTGTGAATGGCGAATGATGGAGCTTACCCTGGATGCCCACCATTGAATTGCTGACACAAGTCTGCAATGAGCAATCTGAATGTCTTCAGGACATGGTCATGCTCTTTTGAAAGCCTCTGCACTGATGATTTCTCCAGCTTTTCTTCTTCTTTTAAGCTTTCCACTGCATTCTTTCCATAAGCCGTGGAGCCGTTCACCTGGGGTGCATCTTGTGACGCGTACATGATATTAGAGTGTATAAGGATTTGAGCTTTTGGGTGAAGAATACAAGTAAAGGAAGTGAATGAAACTGGAAAGAAAGAATCTCAAGGAAGATTGTATCTAAATACTTGTCCAGTGTGCGACTGACAACGAATCTTCTACGACGTATGTGCATCGAAAGGAAAGTCGAGAGCCCGGGTGTTCCTAATTAGGCAACCCGACGTATTCGCTGTGCGGAAGAGGGCGGTGGCTCTGGATTCCCATTGGCGATCGGAAGGCACCCTATACCAATACAGTAGTCATAGCCACCTGCGATCTCTACTGGCCTTCTCCACTCAATTTCCCCGCAATTCAACGCCACCTGTTGTATCATGCGGAGAACAGTGACGATGGAGTTGCTATTCCCGCAGCGACAGCGATACGACCCGCTAAACATGTGAGCCCTGGACACCGTCAGCCATTATTCTAACGTCGACTACATCTACTCTTGCTTTCGACATTTCAAGGCAGTGTTGCATTTCCACCCTTATCAATCCAATGATGAACTCAGAAACTACTTCTTCCGCACCCAAACAAACAAGCACGGTGCGTACGACGATCAAGACATCGCTACCAAATCCCTCCCTGCAAGTCACTGCAGACCACCAATTGAAACTCCAAGAAGCACCTGTGTATGTTCCCGCAAAGGGAGAAGTTCTGCTACACATAAAAGCCACTGGCGTTTGTGGGTACGAGACCTAGTATCCAAAAAGGGTGCGAAAGCTAATATTGAGTTTGATAGGTCCGATATTCACTTTTGGAAAGCAGGAAGAATAGGCTCTCTCATCGTCGAAGGAGACTGCATTCTCGGTCATGAAGCTTCAGGAATTGTTTTGCAATGTGGTGAGGACGTTACAACCTTGCAACCCGGTACTTGGCCTTCCTCCCTTCCAATGCGGTCTTCTGACCTAACTTTGTTCATAGGCGATCGCGTAGCAGTTGAGCCCGGCGTCCCATGCGGAACGTGTTTCTTGTGTATGGATGGACGCTACAATCTGTGCGAGGATGTCCAATTCGCTGGTGTTTACCCTTATGGTGGTACTGTGCAGCGATTCAAATGTCACCCTGCACGGTGGTGCCATAAGCTGCCTTCCAACATATCGTATGCTGAAGGTGCACTCCTCGAGCCACTCTCCGTGGTCATGCACGGTATTAAATCTGCGGGTCTTTCCCTAGGCCGTGGTGCTGTGATATGCGGTGCTGGGCCCATCGGTCTCATCGCATTGGCAGCAGCTAGAGCAAGTGGGGCGCACCCACTAGTCATTACTGATCTCGAACCAAAACGACTGGATTTCGCGAAAAGGTTTGTGCCTTCGGCTCATATTTACCAAGTCGAACGAGATCTCGATGCGTTAGGTAACGCAAAGAAGATCAGGGAGCTGTTTGACTTTGGGAATGTAGGCGAGTACGGGGCGCCAGAGACCGTGCTAGAATGCACGGGGGTAGAAAATAGCGTTGTCACTGCGGCCTATACGGCACGAAGAGGTGGGACTGTTATGGTCATTGGTGTTGGGAAGGACATCATGAACAATTTGCCATTCATGCATTTGAGTTTGGCCGAGGTATATGCCTGCTCCCTCTCCTTCCTCTAAGATCCTTCTCGCTGACATCACATGCATATTGATCTGAAATTTATCAATCGCTACCGCGATACCTGGCCAGCCGGTCTTCAGTGCTTGGCTGGTGGTATACTGGACCTCAAGCCACTTGTCAGTCACACGTTTCCGCTAGAAAAGGCGCTCGATGCCCTGCATACATGTGCCGACCTAAGGAATGGAAGTATCAAAGTTCAAATCATCGATGAGGTAGACGATGTGCTCTAGTGACTTACTTACGAAGATCTGGGAACTTCGTGATATTGGGCGAGTGTGCACTTTGGGACAATTGGATTTCTAAAAGTGACGTGGAACATGTGGCCGCGAACGTTACCAGTTACAACTGCATTCGTAGCCGAAATGAACATTTTATACTTCTGCGTGCAGCTCAAACTGCCTCTTAAGAGCAGGACGCATCAAATTGAACACAAGAAATGGACATCAAGTCTTGCTCTACTGATGGCACCAGGTGATATTTACATTATCAAAGTAACAGCTTCAAAGATAATCCAAGAAGAAGGCAACAATTAAGAACGACCACTATTATGATACAACACAGTACTAGAAAAACAAATAACCCCACATAAATTCTGAGAAATCGTTTTCGCAACGCCGTTAAATCGCATAAGCCCTCAACGGAGGCTCAACAAACGTCTTCGTAGTAGGATCCAACAGCAACAGCGCACCTGATACTGGTATTAAGCCAATCGTCGCCAACACATCATTCAGATCAAGTCCTGGCGTAGCGAGAGTACTGCACACACGCTTCAAATCAATGCGCGACAAGTCGCCCGGTCCATCTTGCTGCAGCGCATCGACAATAAGTGCGTAGGTTAGCGGGTTAGAAAGAAGACTAGAGTGACCGTAGAAAGAGCCAGCAGGCTGACCTGCACACACGCGCTGGACTTCAATGTTCGTAACACCGACGTTACGTGCATCGTTCATGTATGCGGAAGCCGAAGTGCCTTGTTGCGGCTCGACGATCTCGTCGAAGAAGCCTGAGTAGAAGGACGTTGTAGGCACATATGCGCTGTCGCCACCGTTGGTCCTCAGGCTGCGGATGTAGTCGCTTGTAGCTTGCTGTTGGACGACAGAGGCGCTGCATGGTAGGAGGGAGATATCGCTGTTTGGTGTTAGGCAAAGCGCATTTGCGAAGATTGTGCCTTTGAAGTCTGGGGATACGGGTAGGAAGTCTTTGACGACTTGTCGTGTGGAGGGCCAGTGCTTAAGTACCCATTGGGTGTCGAGACCACCTTGGGACCAAGTGACGACGGCGATGTTTTGTTGGTTTTGACGCGATATGGCGCTGATGTAGTTGATGGCGTAGGCAATGTACTCTGCGTTTGTTTGCGTATCGTTGAGCATGGCACCGGGTATGTTGAGCCATACTGGATCAGCGAAATCCTTGCCTGTGAGCAGTTTCCGCAGGTTGGATGCAAAGTTGGTGCCGCCGTAAGTAGCGGTTCCTGGGACAAGAATGACGGGACGTTTGGCGCCGTATGTGAAGCTGGATGGAATGAATATCGCTTGCCGGAGAGTGGATTCGGAAAGCGTATATGGAGCATCGGTGGCATCCTTCTTTGGGTAGATGGAAGATGCTGAATCTGGGTTGTTGTTCTTGATGGCATTTTCTCCTACCGGCAAAGCGTTGTTCAAGGCTGTTTGAAGTGTTTCGTCAAGGATTAGACCGCCAGCTATCTGTGTCGCAACAGCGGCAAAAAAGTCGGTTCTTGTGGTTGGGATCGCCCATATCTTAGCGTGTGCCGCGACAGCCTCTTGGATATTCGTCGGTCGTGTTGTGGGTTGAAGCTTCTGGAGAATGTTGAGAACTTCCTGAGGCTTGCCCTCAGCTACGGCGACGTTGACATCGGTGAGAAGACCCTTGACGAGCGAAACCACGCCGGGTAGGAGACCAGGCAAAAGGTCGGGGAGAAGTTGTCGCTCCTCAATTGTTTTTGTGGCGTCTTCAATTGATGGCTGCGCTATCGCAGCGGGTACAGCGAGGGACTGGGAGATGATGCTCAGGAGAGCTAGCGACGACACGAAAAAACGCATATCGAAGACTATATGATCTTCAGTAAGAGTTGTTCAGCCAACGACAAAGCAACACAAGGTCCCTGCCCTCGCTTTTATTCCAATCTGATTACATGAGTCGTGTGCTGCAGAACAAGTGGGATGTTATTTCCATTGTGGTTCCCCTGAGTCGGCGGGTGAACCGGTAACGATAGGGAGTGGAACCTAGTCGCGATCCATTTGCGTATATAGCACGATGAATACGGTGCTAGTTCTACGCGCTATTTCCTGTTTGGTGTTTCTCCAAGAGCAGATCATAACCTACTCTAGATAGTTAGATTGCCAAACTTACCAAACAAGATGACGAAGGCCTTTCTAGGCCAATCGGCGTGCTTAGCGCTAGCGAACCCTTCATCGTGAACAACCCGAGGGGTAAATCAGAGAATATAGTAGAACAACTGAGTGTATGAGGGGTAAGATACTACTCAAGTTGTTTACGTATTCATCTGAAACTAAACTAAGGTCGGTTCGGATATACCACATCCACATGAACTATTGAACCACTCCGAGGAACTCCCTTATGGTCACAACCTTGATTCTTTCTGATTTTTTTAGCTTTACAAACCCATGTGATTGTTTACGTACGAAACAAGTGGCTTGGCGTGCTTACTCCAACATGCTCCCTATCCAACCGTGACCTCGTCCAATGGTTGCCTACGGAACCATGATCCCATTCTTTGAGTCGTAGCCTTACCCATCCGTGTCAAATCGTCTTTTGTAGCCCGAATATTCCCTAGAATCCGGACAGTGATCTTCACGTCTCACAAGCGCTCGTCGCACAATGAAGATATTAACGAACAATTACTCTTAAGGCAAATATAGTAATTGAAACTTCCACATAATTTCTCATATCATATCCTCAGATTGAAGTCGATCCCAAATTAAAATCTAGATGGTCTTCCTCCAGCCCCCGGCAGGTGGCTGGCCAGGGTTCGTCATGTCACAGCAGCATCCATTATTGACACATCTACAAGACCCAGTGAATCCCTACGGCAGGAGTTAGCTATTACCACACCACCAATCTGTTGTATGACGAATGTAGTTCCTTAGAAAGAGATGGTGGGTGACAGAAAAGACTCACATCGCAGGGGCACTCAATGCAAGCAATGTGCATGGTATCGTCACCGTCAGCACGGCCAGCAAGGGTCTTGAAAGAGCTGTTGAGCGATATCTGAGAAAAATATTTAGCTGTGATACAGGGAAGGATGTATTGTTGCGGTTGAATAGTCAGGAAAGACATACGGCACCCGGGGCAGCTAGCACTATGGCAGTGTAGATTGCCGTGCTGAGGAGGAGGATGAACTTCATCTTGACTGTTGTATCAGGGTGTGATATTTTGATCAAGTACTGGAATACTAATATATCTGAGAGAGAGTATTTGCGGAGCGTTTTGAATATTTGCAGGCCAGAGGTGTTAACTGAAGCTGAAGTAGTGACTTGTTGGATAACTCAAAGCTGGAATGAACTCACAATTATATAGACCAAAAGCTCCAGAGTAGGCTGCGATGGTTGCATCCGCGGCATGCACCTACATCTTTCTGCCAAGTATTGATTTGAATATAGGATGATCCTGTGGTCAGCACCTTGTGCATGTGGCACTGAGTGTGCCATCAGCTGGTTCCTCACACTGGCTGGATAAAATCTCTTGGAGATTCCTTCACTGCACGCAGTAATACAATGGCCGTTTGTATCTACTGGGCCATTCCGGATCTTACACACTGTGGTTTGGGTTCGGGAGAATTGGGTGTTTAGGAAAATACAGTTCTATTATAATTTAAACCAGAGAGAAGCACCTAGCCCTTGAACTTGAGGAAAATTTGTGATGAAAGACCAGAACATTGTGTATAGCTACCTATTCGGCTCCCCAACCGATACGTAGATGGCCGCCTACAGTAGGCTGTGCTGGACTATCGTGACTGTGCCACATTCCTCTAGGATGCCGGCATAAACAACCGATTCAAGAGAGCTGCCTCGATTCTTCCTTATTACAGTAATGTAGGCTTATTTAAGTTTCCTGATGTAGTTTAACAAGGCAAATGGTATTTGCTCAGCTGTGCCACATTATAATGGAGTGGTGTGACCTACAACAACTTGTAATACTGCAAGTCAACCACTCGGGGCTTATCGTAAAACCTAAACTCCACGAACAGATAGTGAGAATGTTTGTCGGGCTGAATGATGGATTTGGGGTCTGAGGTTGCTCCTCCATTGCGCTCTTCGGGTTTGCCTTGGGGCCATAATGTCAGCGCCAAGCCCGAGATTACGAGGGGCCAAAGTATACGAGAAATACTGACTAGTGGGCAGGATCAGGCAGATACTTAGGTTCGAGGTTTCAATAAAGGTGGCTGAGACATTAGTTCATGGTGTGCACTGCCCTAGATCGACAAAGGTTCTAGAAACAATATGTCTCGCCACGATGGTCACGGGTATCATTTTTGATCCTTCGGATGTTGCCCAGCACATGACTCAGATGACCGGGATATCTTTAAGCCTTTACTTTTTCTAAAAAAAATCTCCTAGTTCGGCAAACAGTTCACACAGCTCATACTGATTTTGTGGAACTGTTTGGCATTTTTCGACAACGAGCATACGTGAGCCACTTTTGAAGGTGATTTCCAGAATGAATGCTGAAGAGATTTGTAAGAGTCAAGGCGGTCTTGTTTATCTTTAAGGAATTCTATTGAAAGCTGGTGAATAGTCAACATTAAGATAAGATGCTGTCATGTCATGAAAGGCGAACGATTGTAAGGACAATTATTTCAACGATTGAGCCAAGCAAAAAACCACACTGTTAATCAAATGCCTGTCAAGAAGTAACTAAATGTGAAAATTTTAAAGGAAACAGCGTAAAAATTCAGCCGAATAGGGGTTTAGTAGATACCTTCAGATTAGTGTAATGAGCACATTGTCTATGACCTCGCGTATTCGCCCATTTGATTCGAACTTTCACATGAGTGTGTCATTTTTGAGACAGATTTTGAGTGGGTTAAACCCACCGAGAAGGCTTCGAAAGCGATGTCGAAGATTGGAAATCTTTGCAGAGAGAAGGTTACCTGTAGTAAGCGGGGTAGCTCGTCCCGTTCCACCACCAGCGAGCACAATGTAATCTCGACCTTGTCGATTGCGTCCTTAGTATATATACTTCTACCTGATTACAAGAAATTTTTGGATTGGGTCGCTCAGACCTTTTTTATCGCAAAATGCCTCTATAGCCCAACGCGCTTGCGGCGCCCAGTAGATACATAGAGGTAGCAGTGACGTCATCGTTACGCCGCCCATGACAGATAGTGCCGTAAGCAACGAGACGTAGAAAAACACCAGTGTATGGTGTTGAGAGTGCGCGAAATGCCTTCGGCTGCAGGAGGGTGTCTTATGAATTAAGAAACTCTCTGCCACGCCGGCGGGCAAGATTACATACCCGCAGTTGCCCGATAGCACAAACTGAGGTGTGCGGCTCCTTCGAATCCAGTGTTTGTGAACTCATAACAGGGAAACAACACGAATCAGTGACCTATCGTACGACGAGCTACATAAGACACCGGATAGTATCGGAACGGACAGCGGCGTCTGCAATAATCCATTATATAACCTATGATACCCTCACGAACCTCTTTACTTTAATGCTCCGACAACTTAAGACTTTGTTGCCGGTTCAGGCCACTCCAGTAACCGCCCAACCACGAGTCCATACCTTAGGATCGTTCACCGTTTCTTCTCGGAAACTTTCGAATATGTCACCCAATACGAAGCAACAAAAGAACGAGAAGTTCGGCCATCTGCCACTGTCGACCTCTGGGCCACAAGAAACTAGCTTGACGGTGCGCATTAGTGGTCAGATGTTATTGCAAAGTCCTGATAGTGACATACAATGTAGGGCAACGCGCTCCTTCGAACTCCCTATTTCAACAAAGGCTCAGCATTCACAAAAGAAGAGCGTGATACATTCAAGCTCCATGGCCTTCTTCCCTCAAACATTCAAACCCTCGATGAGCAGGTCAAGCGCGCATATGCTCAATACAGCTCACGTCCGAACGACCTCGCCAAGAACACCTTCATGACGAGTATGAAGGAGCAAAACGAGGTCCTCTACTACAGAGTACGAGATAGCATGTAGCTCCTTGGATATCATGATTAATGACTAGTAGCTGATTTTTGATCACCTCAAAGAGATGTTCTCTGTCATCTATACCCCCACTGAGGGTGAGGCAATAGCTGATTACTCCAAAATCTTCCGAAGACCCGAAGGCTGCTTTCTCAATATCGAAGACGTGGATCGCGTTGAGGACGATATCAAGCAATGGGGCGGCCCCGAAGATATTGACCTGATAGTCGTGAGCGATGGGCAGCAGATACTGGGTATTGGGGATCAAGGTGTAGGAGGCATCCTGATCAGTGTAGCAAAACTAATCATCTATACACTATGCGCAGGCATACATCCCTCACGAACACTGCCAGTCGTCCTCGACTGTGGTACAGATGTGGGTGTATCTGAAATATTGTGCTAGATACTAGGCTAATCCAGGTACAGAATGAGGATCTCTTGAATGACGAGCTATATCTTGGCCTGAGAAAACCACGAGTGACTGGCGAGAAGTACGACCAATTTGTCGACACGTTTGTGAAAGCCGCGCGAAAGCGGTACCCCAAGGCCTACATTCATTTTGAGGACTTTGGTCTGGACAATGCACGAAGAATTCTCGACAAGTATACTCCTGAAATCGCATGTTTCAATGACGATGTTCAAGGAACTGGTTGTGTCACACTTGCAGCTATTATGGCAGCTTTCAAAGTCAGCGGTACGAAGTGGGACGAGGCTCGCTTTGTCATGTTTGGAGCGGGCTCAGCAGGGACTGGAATTGCAGACCAGATTCGGGATGCTATTGTCCAGAATGCCGGAAAACCAGACGACGAAGCGAGTCGTCAAATTTGGTACTTTTATGATTAGGGTGACTAGTCAAAATGAAGCTGATTTTCTTTAGGTGTGTCGACAAACCAGGCCTTCTTCTGCAGGGAAAGAAAGACCAGCTTACCCCTGCCCAAATGCCCTTTGCGCGTACAGACAAGGAGTGGGAAGGAAAAGATCACGGGGATCTACTCTCCGTTATCAAAGAGGTGAAGCCACATGTTCTCATAGGTACATCGACTAAACCAGGCGCCTTCACAGAAGATATCGTTCGGGAGATGGCCAAACACGTCGAGCGCCCTGTCATCTTCCCGCTGTCCAACCCAACCAAACTTCACGAAGCCAAACCCCAGGATCTGTATGACTGGACAGACGGAAAAGTACTAGTGGCGACTGGCTCACCTTTCGACCCAGTGAAGTACAAAGGAAAAGAGTATGAGATATGTAAGTAGCTGATATTTCACTTTTACGAAGACAGAACACTCACTCCCCACTAGCCGAGTGCAACAACTCCGTAACATTCCCAGGCATTGGACTAGGTGCAGTCCTGTCCTGCACCCGCCTGATGACCCCCGCACTTCTTGTCGCCGCTGTCCAAGCTCTATCTTCCGCAGCTCCAGTAGTTAACAATGACGGAGCCGGTCTCCTCCCTGACGTTAAAGATGTCCGAGAAATCAGCGTACAGATTGCCAAGAACGTGATAAAGAAAGCGGTGGAAGACAACTTGGCGCAAGAAAAGAATATACCAAGTGATGATGCAGAGTTGGAAGAATGGATCCGGGAGCAGATGTGGGAAGCTGAGTACAGGCCGTTGAAGCTTGTTGAGCATGCCAAAGCGGATGCACATGCGAAGGGAGAGGCCGGAACAGCATCGGGACAGAGAGAGGCAAGGTTTGACTCTTAGTCCCGTATTTATCAAGGCCTGGAGTGGGCTTCTTTCTTTTGTCAGCTATTGCCTAGTACGGCGACGGAATGAAATAAAAGGAATTCAGTTTGTATTCATCCTAGGAATTCTGGTTAAGAGAAAGCTAGAAATCACGCGGGTCTGTCTCTGCATTTGCGGCCATCAGAAAAAGACTTACTAACAGCGTGGCCACGGTATGAGGAAGGCCGAGGTCTATTTTTTGGTTTGGGGTTGACAAACTCATGTGGGATTAGGGTCGCTAGGTCAAAGCGCCCCTCTTAATGGCTGTGTCGGTGTATGCATTTACCTCATGGTTCTTGAAGTCCCTAGCTCGGACACCTTGTGCGAACAATATGTCGATCTCCTCGAAAGTGCGTCCTTTAGTCTCAGGTAAGCGGAAAAAGGTCCAGATAAAGAAGAGAAATGCAAAGCCACCCCAGAAAAATCCTGTTTTCCCCTTCCAGTCTCCAGCTGTTGGGTTGAGCATGTAAGGGTTGACGACATTGCTGATGATCTGCGCGATGTAGTAGACTATGCGGCTGAGGCAAACACTCTTGCTACGTAATCGAGTTGAGGAAACCTCGGTGATGATGGCGTAACACATTGGTCCAACGGTGAGATAGTAGACGGCGAGCCACCCAAGCATCAGACCAGCTTGGGCATAGTTTCCTCGTGATGATCTGGCGTCGCCAGCACTTATAGCGCCGACAGTCATGAGAATCGCAGTAAGTCCACCTAAGCCCCAAAGGTAGATGGTTCGACGGCCGCAGTAGGACATGAGAAACCAGGATACGATCGTACCAATTGATGCAATGCCCAAACCACCAACAGACATCTTGAAAGAAATGCTGCTGGGGAGACCGGCTTGAACGAAAAAATATGTTGGGGTACCGCCCATAGCTGAGCCGCAGAAGGGCTGAGCGGCAAAAGCCATACAAGCAATCTCGGTACGACGCAGGTCTATGCCCTTGAAGCATTGGAAGTAAGACGTATCCTGGCTAAGCGACACTTCCAGCTCGTTTGTATGGACCATCATCGCGATCTTCTGCTTGATTGAGTCTAGCTGAGACGGTGAAGAGAGACGTTTCAACATCTTTTCTGCCATTCTAAGGTCGCCTTTACGGACGTAGTGCCACGGTGACTCGGGAGCGAAGAAGAGTACCAGGAAAAGCGGAATGGGCCATACCCACTGGAGGGCAAACGGAATGCGATATGACCATTGGCTGGTACCACCAGAGAATGCCGACTGTACACCTGCAGAGATGAGTTGTCCGAGCGCCCAACAGAGATTGACGTATACTGCGAGATATCCCCGCAAGGCCATGGGGCAGACCTCGCTCGCATAAGCAGGTGCCATAGTTGCGAAAACGCCCTGTAAGCATTGGTGAAAGCTCCAAGCTTTCTTGACTGAGCACTTACCCATGGTATACCGCAGAGAAATTGGCCTACAAGTAGAACCGGCAAATTGGGTGCGGAGAACGAGATAGCGATGAAAGCGCAAATGAACACCAAAGAAGTGAGAAGGACCGGGCGGTAGCCATATTTGTGGCAGAAGTATCCATTGGCAAAGGCACCGACGATAGTGCCACACCCAACGGCGTTGCCAAGTCCAGCTTGCCAGGAGGCTGTAATCTGACAGGCTCCACTAGAATCGCACTGACCGTACCGGCGAGCGAAGGCTGGCTGGGCGAAGAAAGAGTAGATGAGGACGAGGTCGTAGCCTTCCATGATGATACAGGTCGATAACAAGACGGACCACATCACCGATTTGGGGTGAAGGCGGAGTGCTTGCCAAGGTGTAAGATCATGCTCCTCCTCAGCCGCCTGCCTGGCTTGATGAAATCCTTCATCGTGCTCAGCCAGTATAATTTCGTTCTTGGTTGAGATAGACATGAGAATACTCAATGCTGTTGGGCGTAACTGTATAGTACAGTAGAGAAGATGGCCGACTTGAGATCCATGCAAGTAGTGATAAGCAGAGATATATAGTTGCGTTCACGAGAGAGAGTGACGTTGCGCAGTCTCGTCCTTCAATCTGATCCCAGTCCCCCCACCGGAGCAAAAGTCCGATAACCTGGGGTAAAGATCCGTCTGGGGTTACATGTGGAGAAGCAGGGGAGGCGTTAACGAACCAGGCGACACGAGCTACAGCGGGGTCGATTAGCCCCGGTGGGCAATCCGGCTAAAATTTTGCAATGCAGTCTCTACTTTTGGGCAGTATAAACTAATGGGATGGCAGTCTATTTCGACTACGAGCCGATTGTCGAGGATTTCGAGTGCGCAGGAAAAAGATCACCTTGCATTGCAGTTTCGATTGCAAAGGAAGTTGACTTCAGACTCAAATTTTTGTCTGTGTCAGAACAGAGCCTAAACTTGCCTTTATATGGATCAATCAATATGGAGAACGAACACTCACGATCAATATTTTCAGACCAGCGCCAAGCACCAAGGGAAGATTAGAGAGCTCTGGTTCGTGCCATTCCTCTCCGCACACGACATGGTCTCGAGTATCCCACTCAATGACTTTACATAGCACTCCTCAATACCCCATGTGAATTGTGGTGCTATATTATCCGTGTTGACACACGCTCGTGACCCCGCCAGAAGAAGGCACCGTCCTTCTCGAAGAATATTAGGGGCAGCTTGGGGATCGAGGATATTGCCAACCTTCGAAATGTTGGGACACATCCTATGACCAACGCGTACGAACAGCTGTACCAGCTCATCATCCAAGGGTCGGTCCAGATGACAGAAGCTTGGCTCTGGAACGCCATCTCTGTCGTTGAAAATAGCCTCGGAAACTTCTGGTAGTTGCATGGTCACGCAGAACGCCCACAAAGTAAGGGTTGCGATAAAAATGGCGTAGGGCTCTTGCACACTGTCTCGACTGTACCTTCGTACATGCCAGTAAAGCGCAGCACAGTGAATCACAGCAAGCCTGGTCTTATATCTATCTCCAACGACCCACTGCAGTAACTCATTTCGTGCACGATCTAGACGAATCCGGCTGTCAGTCTGAGCTCCGTACTGAGTAATATCAGTCAGACCTCTCGCCAAAGATTGAATGCAACCAGTAGGCGTGAGTATTATGATACGTGCGAGGTGCAGTTGCAAGATTGTATGATGTTCAAACCCAGAAGATGTTGCCACTTTGCTGTTGGCATGCCAGTGCAATATGTCCAAGGAGTCGCAAGCACTGTTGCGCCACTTGGAACCTATCTGAGTCGAAGGAAGCCAGTCCAAAGGTTGACGATTGTGTTGACTGGTGCTTCGATGTTCTGCCGTTGCTGAAGGAACCCACGATCTCAGTCGACTTGCAGTCAGCATATCCTTTGTATGGCGGTAGATTGCGTGTATCAGCACTCCCACACTGAACTCGTTGAGACCCACGGGTAATCTCTTCTCCATGTAGAGAACCTCGAGGGCCTCAGTCAATGTCATAGACTGGGGAAACTCATGCTCTGGACGATTCTGCAAGCCGCCCTGCCATATGTCTTCGCATGACGGCAGTTTAGTTCTCACATCATCAATGTTCAACAAAGGTCGAGCTCCAAATTCGTACATCATTGAAGAGTCAAACAACTGTTCTAGTCAGCTGATAGGATCAGTGATGAAAAGTTGATGCTACACACCCAGAGCGAGATCCCAGTCCGGATGCTCGCTTCGCTCTTCAACCAGCCTGGTGAGCCAGGAGACGTGCACGAAGAAAGGACACTACTGCTCTCGGGGCTTAGTTCCAGGAGTCTTAGGGAGCGACAGCTATTGACAAGATCGTGACGCACTCTCAGTGCCTTGTCCATAGATCCCTGCGTTCCTGACTGCAGTAGGCAAACAAGGTGCAGTATACCAGCTTGCAAAATTTGAACATCAGCGAGACTGGCTGCCACCAGATTTTCACCAGGTACGTATAAATCATTACCGAATGCGGAGTAACGCCCACGTCTGCAACGATCAAGCGCAGCGTCTAGCCGTCCCGAGAGGATATTATATGAATCTCGAGATCCGGGGACAAATCTGGACCCTATGGCAGCAACAGCAAGGAGAAGCAGCCATCTCTGGGGGCTTTCTTCTTCGAAATTTGTTTTACGCAGGAAAGGGAAGACTGGGTTGAAGCGGGCAAAGTACTGCTGCACGTAGAGCTCAATCTGTGCATGAGTTGGGAATGCCGTTGATTCGACGCCTGGTTCGTTCGAATCAAGTCCGTGGTGTCTGAGTGTATCAAGCAATATACTGTACGCCTCCTCAGAGCACAATGTAGATAAGCAGGATGGGGAAGCTGCTTCTGGTGCATTGCCTACCTTGAGGCCGGTCGGTAGTGCTTGATCAATAGTAAGTGAACCACGATCATGGTATCGGCCTCTGAATGGCGCACGTGAGCCATCGCCGTTAACATAGTACTCTGCACTAGCGGTGAGGGGCGTTTGCGTGCTCTGCACGCTGTCGCAACTTGAAGTTTCAATAACCAAAGAGGTAGGTTGGTGGGTTTGCTGACGGAAACTGCGATCCGTGTCATGTACCATTGGGATGATGGCGTCTGGTGTTTGTTGTCCGCGCGGGTCAAGTGGGAACTTCCCAGTGCCATTGTTGGGTAACATGTTCCAGTCAATATCGTACTGATAGCCAGGCGAGATCCAATTGATGCCGAGTGGGCCAAGATCGGGAAGGTCAACGTCATAAAGCGTAACAACGTCGCCCAATGACGCACCCCAGATGCTGTCCTCCTCTCCAGGTTCACTAGGAGCTGCGTTATCCCGGCGCATTGCAGTACTGTCACTTGACGGAATCTCTACTTCACTATCGATTGCAACGGTTTCATGGGCCATTTCCAGTAAGGCGCTTGAACCCAAGTTTTCAGGTCCGGTCGACTGCATCCCTCTCCGCTCGATGGTATTGCTTCGTGAAACTGCTCTACCTGAAGTAGGGTAGCAACATGGCAAGTTGCGACTCGAGCATCTCTTGCATGGTAAACTCCGTGAACAGCGAACGCGGTCAAGCGCACACTGCTTGCATGCTCTGGTAGAAACAGGTGTTGCTGACACTTCGTTTTGCTGCTCATGTGATGCCTTGTGACGGGTCAAAACATCACTGATCTTGATCAGATGTTGTCTTCAATACTCAGAAGATAACTTACAGTCGGGAAAACCGTTTTTCGCAGAAGGAGCATCTGTATGGCTTTTCGTGTGTATGTGTGCGAAAATGACGAGTGAGATGCTCTGGCCTGTGGAATGTTTGGTTACAAACGGAACAGCTAATATGCATCTTTGGCAGCGACTGAGTTGGTATCACACAGACCGGTGAAGTAACACCTAGAGCACTAACACCTCGGTCATGGCGCTGCTCGACAACTCTTATGGCGAGTGTGATAGGTGGGATTTCTGATGTCAAGGGAGCCAGGAAGACAGTGCGGGGTTGTCTGGACAGCTGACTAGACTGTCGTGTTGAGACTAGTACGTAGGTACCAGCAGGGAACAAGCGGGAAGACATACTATTCGGGCATATCATTGCACAACATCTTGGTCCAAGGCATCGATCTCTGCTAGACTTGTGTATTAGAAATTGCACGTTGTTGTCTACGGCCTGATAAACACAGGCATTTCCTGCAAAGGAGACGCGACCGTAATATGGATGCCACCCTCGTAAGTATCTTCGCTCCATAGCCTCTGCCACTTCTTACCATCAGTCAGCTTTGGCAGATACACCGCCGTCTGCGTCTGACCCTCCGAAAAAACCGGGCAGCAGAGGTACTTGTCACCATACATGTACTGTTCGTCGACTTCCCAACAAATGGCATCATCGGGAAACTCGAAGAAGAGCGTCCTCATGACCGGGGTGCCATGCTCGTGAGCTTCCTTCATGAGATTTCGCGTGTAAGGTCGAAGCTCTTCGCGAAGCTGCATGTACCTTTTGCAGATCTCAAACACCTCCGACCCGTATGACCACACTTCGTTGGCTGCACCACTACGACATGATGCTCCTCCAGTATTACCGACCTTTGCCTGCCTTGGCTCGCGATCTCCATGAAGTCTCATAACAGGGCAAAATGCTCCCCACTGGAACCATCGCACGAATAACTCCCGGAACTTAGGGTCATTGGGATCGCCCCCGTGGAAACCACCAATATCTGTTATTCAAAGTAAGCCTTCAATTCAACCAGGATTGAAAGGAGGTTACCTGTTGTCCACCAGGGAATACCGGCGATGCCCATGGATAACCCTGCCGCCAGTTGGTCTCGGAAGCTGCTCCACGAGGAAGCAATGTCGCCACTCCATACAAGGGCACCGTACTTTTGACTGCCTGCCCAAGCACAACGAACAAGATTGACAACTCCAGTCTGACCCTCAGCTACCATGCCCTCGTAAAAGGCACGCGAGTATTCTCGTGGAAAGATGTTGCCGACGGCCAGGTTGGATCCAAGATGATACCTGTAGTTTTCGAAGTCGTACACCGTGTACTCGGGTTCGGCTTCGTCCAACCAGAAAACCTTGATGCCCTTTGAATAGTAGTTTTGCTTCACCTTACCCCACACATACTTTCGAGATGCTGGATTGGTTGGATCGAAATGTACAGTGACGCCCTGGAATGACATAGCGATGCGCTCGCCACGCTCTGTACGAATGAGCAAACCCTTCTCTAACATCTCGGCATAGTTCTCGGACTTGCGATCGACTGTTGGCCAGATGGAGACCATGAGCTCAATGCCCATATCTTGCAATTCCTTGACCATAGCGTTTGGATCTGGCCAATACGTCTCATCAAAGCGCCAATCACCTTGTTTCGGCCAGTGCTGGACTGATTCAATACGCGTTCTGAACGGGGTTTTAGTCTACTGCAACTTACGAAGAAGTCGATGACGATCAAATCAATCGGCAGTTGAAGTCGTTTGTACTCTCGTGCAACATTGAGAAGCTCATCCTGGGTCTGGTAACGCAACTTGCATTGCCAGAAGCCGAGGCCATATTCTGGCATCATAGGTACCTTGCCAGTGGCCTCGGCGTATGCCTCAATAATCTGCGCTGGCGTCTCTCCTGCCACGACCCAGTAGTCTAAGACCGTTGTTGATCGAGCCTCGAAGCTCATGATGTTTTTGCCAAAGATGGCAGTTCCAACGGACGGATTGTTCCACAGAAAGCCATAGCCACGGGAAGACAGCGCAAATGGTACGCTGGCCTGAGAGTTGCGGTGCGCGAGTTCGATCTGAGTTCCTTTGATATCTAGGTAGGGCTGTTGGTACTGTCCCATGCCGAAGATCTTCTCCTTTGGATCAAGGCTCTCGAACCTGGCCGTGAGATGATAGTCACCACCAATTATTGGTTTGAACTCGCGCGCTTCAATCTCGAGAGCGCTACATTTCGGATCTGTAGGCTCTCGCCGGTTCCGAGCAAACTCTTCGAGCAGGACTTTTCCACTGTCATCACGGACAGTCACTTTACCCCGCTGCGTCACTGTAGCGCTGATACGGCCGTTCACCAGGGTAGCGCATTCATCTGTGATGGTGACATCTGATTTGGTGGGCTTGGCCTGAAGCAGCGCCCAGTCTTCGGTAGGCATGCTACTGGCTTTGGTGGCACGAACGCGGAGAGAGTTTTGGCCCCACGGTTCGATCCATAGCCGTTCTGCGTCGTACGCGAACACGAGACGACCGTGTTCGTGGAGAAACATTGTTCAGCTTAAGAGAAGCGTATCCGTGGTTCAATTAGAAATATCTGTCGCAAAGCGGTTCGAGTGAAGCCACGCATCAGGTGTGCGCACAGCTTTGCAGGCAAGCCAGAGCGCTGCGGCCGCAAGAGGGTGACAAAGGAACATGATCAATGTGGATCAACGAGGTCCACCGGGCTTGTGTAACGATACGTGTAAAAACAGTACAGTTTCCCCGTGTTATTCGGAGAGAAGAGTTCGTCTCCACGCGCCTCCACCGGAGCGTGAGGGGAAGGCGCGCTCGAAAAGTGGGCTAGGGTAGTCTCTCCACCGGAGGATTGGAAATCTACTGCGGTACATGGCATAAGATTGACATTTACTCCAACGGAAAATTCACAATGAGTGCAACTGTTCTATCTTGTTCTTCGTTGTTGAAGATGCACAAACGATTATCCAAACAATCTTTAACACACTATAATTAATTTGTGTTTCAATTAGCTTTCATCTTGGAATATTTTCAATCTGTTTCTATTCCGAATATTCGCCAAATACGCATTTACAGCTTGGGACTATTGTAAAGCTTGAAATGTCAAAGGGGTGTGACCTCAAATGACTCCAGAAACGGAAAACTCCAGTTATTTACAACGGTTGGTGTTCCACACAACAGAACTACTGATCCAAGCAAATGTACGTTGCTGAACCTACTGTACCCCACCGGAGGCATTTTACTTCGACATGGGCTATGCGGGGTTGTAGGCATCCCATCTCCACCGGGAGTTCTACTAGATTCACCCAGGCTTGCTACTTAGGAACAATTAATTTAATTCCGCGCTACTGTAACCCCGCATGACGCCTGCAGCGACAATACTGTTTTTTCATAGAAGATCAAATAAGTTTTTGAAAATATGTCGCTGGAAAAGAATTGCCGAATTAATTTAAATGCTACTAAGAGCTTGCCAAAGACGTGCACACATAAGAAGAGATTGATGTACCATTCATTCGGGCTTGCCATCAGGCCTGTGACCAGTATATTCTCGAGAGAAGATGAGGTCATCTGCAGTTGCCAGTATTCTGCTTTCGAGCCTTACGTTCCTCGAAGCAGCCAACATCCGAAGAGTAGCTAAGGGCGTTGCAACCGTCGACCTTTCCAAGACTTCCGGCCAGGCAAAATTCCTTGCTTCTGGGTGGATCTACGGATTTCCCGACAACGGGACAGAGGCAGACACTTCGATTCCCGCGAATTACATTACGGACGTCAAATTCGGTTCCAGCCGAGCTGGCGGTGCTCAAACTTCGTCCCGTGGCTGGGTCGATGGTTACGACAGCTACCTTCCGCGATTCGAGTCTACCCTTTCCAACTACCGTACCACTCGGAAATACAACGGCGAGTTTATAGTCCTCGTCCATGACCTATGGGGAGCAGATGGCAGTAGCATCCCTCTCTTCCCTGGCGACAATGGCAACTGGACTGAAACCGACGCTTTCTTGACCCAGCTCGTCAAAGACATCAAGGCTAACAACATGCTCGACGGCCTTATTCTCGACCTCTGGAATGAGCCTGATATTGATATATTTTGGGGCCGTACTTGGTCCCAATACCTTGAATACTACGTCCACGCCCACAACTTCTTCAGGCAAGTTTCCACACACACACACACATGTCACTTTCTAGTTTCTCCCTATACCATTAGCTAACCAACTCTCCCCGACTCAGAAAAAACCTTGCTTCAACTACGCTCAGCGGCCCTTCCATGGCCAGTTCCCCTCGCACCAACTCGGAAAACTGGCAAACCTGGCTGAGCACCATAGCCAGCAAAAACGCCACCCCAGACATCTACTCCTGGCACCAAATCGGCACCGGGAGCCGCCAACCCGACGCCACAATCCCCGACTTCGCCACGCTCCGCTCCTCGCAAAACCTGCCTGAACGCCCCATCGACATCAACGAGTACGCAGCAAAAGAAGAGCAAACCCCGGGCTGCTCCGTGTACTATATTGCCCAGCTCGAGCGGCACAACCTGCGTGGCCTGCGCGCAAACTGGGGCTCTGGAACGGGCCTTCACGATTCGCTCGCCAATCTCGTCTTCAACACGAGCAGCGCTGTGTATCGTCCGAATGGGGAGTGGCAGCTGTACAAGTACTACGCCGGGATGACGGGAGAGAGACTTGCAACCACGGCGGCGGCTGATAGTCAGTTTGATGTGTTCGCGACTAGATCTGCCGACGGGCTTGTCAAGGTTATCGCGGGGACGCGCATTGTGGAGGGTCAGTACGATATTCAGATTAGTGGATTGGAGGGAGCGTCGGTTAGTGTTGCTACATATCGGTTTGACTGGGCGGGGCCTGGGGGCGAGATTGAGGCACCCGTGGCGTTGGGTACGAGTACAGTGAACATTAGTAGCGGGGTGGTGAGTGATATCACATCTTTCTTCTGCTTCTTTTATTTCCCCTTCCTGGTAAGAACTTGTGTGTGAAGATTGCTAATGCTTCATCGGAACAGATTACTATCTCGGTTGATCCGGCGACTAATGCGACCGCGTATGCGTATGAGATTTCTGGTGCGACGTAGTTGAACTGTCACCACACGCCTTGTTTTTGATTTCCATGCCTGGATAGTCGTAAAATGACCGCATTCTAGGGTTATGTATGTAAATGCAGTCTCTGTAATCAATCTTTCATCTCCCTGTTCATATATAAAACTCTACAGCAGTGTTTTACATTTAGTCTACACATTAATTATACCCATATAGAACATATTTAAGAGCTGTATAAGTTACCAGTGGGGAGAGATATAAATAACATATCACGGACTGTCAGAATTCAAAATTCCATATAAACCACGTCATCAACTTCCCAGCAGCCATATCGACCGAACCGATAAACAACTTTAAACGCAAACTATGTGGCTTTTCTACTAATTCGACGGCGTCATCGTCAGCGCTTCTCTGGCTCGGGATGCACTATCTGTAGAGCTAGTAGCGGCCCGGGAGCTTATAAAGCGGGGTTTGCGCGTCTACGGGCCATGGACCCTAGCGGGCTAAAGGGTATGTCCTCCTGAAACGCAATCCCCTCACTAGGCTTACTGTTTGAAATAATTTTTTAAAGGAATAGTAAAGGAAGGAGAGATATCCGGGGATTAGTTGTATTTGATAGTAGTGGCTGATCAGCATCGAGGTTATTACTCGCTGCAACTTTAATATCGACCGCACTTGTGGCACTGTTGGCGGTTGCGGTAGATAGGTGATTACGAAGCGCAATAGTTACGATAATGTGGAGCTTAAAGTTACCTTCCTGGATAGTTGCGGCAGTGCATAGGTCGGTGGATGTTGAAGTTGATCAATCAATTGGGTTCATGAAGTTTGGATAATGTGCATGTATCCAACCTAGATGCACACTATCGTAGATGTGGAGATAAGTTGTGCAGTTGGGAGCTGCTTTTTCAAGTTTTGGTGCTGAAGAAGCTATTCTTTATGGTTTCCCCTTGCATATGACTACTGTGAAGTCCTGACAAACTCTTACACATCTTCGCTACTGTAGATAGCTTGAGTAGCAATTGATGCAATCCTGTTAACCCCCCCCCCCCACGAAAAGGCGGGAATGATGTTTTGGGAAGAAATCAATTGCAGCTATTTTGTTCATTCTTTGAGAGGACACATGGAGTATGATGCATGGGGTTCGAGTATGATATTTCCCAATCTTAGTCTCGACCAAGGCGAGAACAAAGTGGGATGCACAGTTTATCATAGGTTCTAATTTGTTTGTTATAGCGAATACTTGACTATAGGGCTTGGGTTATTTATATATGCTTTCGCGTGCCTGGACCTCCCAGAGCAGAAATCGGATATTGTCCGTGTGCTCTTGGTCATGATAGTAATTGCTGTAGATGGCGTGGTCCAACAATAGCCTTACGAAATGGTCATCTTGTCGTCTGATGAACTGGCAAAAGTCGACATTGTCCCTCTCTAATATGAATTTGACAAAGCATTCATTCATGACAAAGTGGGGTCCTTGGGTAATGGCCTCGATGTCTTTCATAGAGGGGCTGATGACAGACGAGAGGAGGTTGGAGAGGGCGACGGTGGTGGCAGAACGACCGAGGGCTGCGAGATAGGCAAATACAGTGGTGATGCCTTGGACGGCAAACGAGCGCCTTATTTCATCCTCTCGATCTTGGCCTGTTCGAATGTCGGCAAGGACAATCAAGGTGCGGTTCTGGAGACGTTTGGTGTCGATATGGTAGATGGTGCTGGCGGGCGGACCGACGCGAGCTAGTTTTGCCGAAGCGGCGGCATGGTGAAGGTCGAGCTTGAGAGCAGGAGTGGCATTGTTGGCTACCAGATGGCGATTGAGGTAAGCAACAAAATGGTGGCGCAGGCTGTGGGTGGGCGTGGGAACGTGGTCGGATAAGACGGCAACGGCGAAGTCGTGTATGGGACTGGGGAGGGTGGGAATATAGGCCTTGGCGAGGTCCGTGCCGAGGCGATGGGCCAATCGGTCGTCGCCAAAGAGATAGCGCTGGTAGTCGTTGAGAGAAAAGGGAAATGTCAGCTCATCGTCGGCGACGATGCTGTGAAGCGCGAAGACATCTTGAACCATTGGGGCCGGGCCAGGTCCTCTGGCGCCAGAAGATGGGATTTCGCAGGTGCAGAGAGAGACGGTGGCCAGACATTTGAAGGGTCGGCCCATGGCCAGGTTAGCGGCAAGAAGCGTCTGGAATCGACATGCCAAGAGGGGGGCTGTGCAGCCGACGCCTTTTCATCGACGTCGACCATGGCTCCTTGCCATGTATGTACCGTACTGCGTATGCGCATGTCTGTACTTAAATGCCTCAAATCCATGTCATGGGGACGGCCAATGTCAAAAGACGGCTGGACCTACCCCAGCCAGCATCACACAACAACCCCTCTGCTCCATCTGCCGATCCAAGCTGGATGCCCAAGACGCCAAACGCGCATGCCGCGTCACGGAACATGTTTCCCATTGCCATGACCATCCATCTGTCTGCGTCTGGACCACGACAAGTTCAGACGGTGCCAACGGCTTCTCCGCGCGCCATGTGGCAGCTTATTGCAACTGCTCCTACACCAAAGACGCCAATTGCTCAACAAGCTCAACGGCACGTTACAATGAAGCATACACAAAAAGCTAAGGAAAAGCTTGCTACACTCAAGTACCTGTAGAGAGCACATGGCTTAGCGAATAGTCGGGTACGGCCGTCCAAGACCTTTGATTTCGTGTAACTCACGTGACCGGGTACTCTGATCCACGGTCACGTGATCGCAGCCTGTGCGATTTTGCTCTCCTTACTTACATTCTGAGGATATGACCGCTGCATACGGAATCATTGCATACCAACCACACTGTTTTGCAACGCCTGAACCTCTGCCAATGATTGCATAAAAAGAAGGAATCATCTTGGTCTACGCGCCACTGGTGGCATAATGTTACACAAGTCAGAACCTTGTTCACAACGTTCGCTAGTCGATCACTACAAAAAACTTGCACAACACTGCATCTTATGCTTTGTGGCGTCAAGGGTCACTCCTTATCTTCGCATCCAACACTGCCGTGTCTCCCTTGCCAAGAAGCCTACAGGAAAAGCGCCAACCACTACATTAGTCGCTCCTGCCTCCTTCACTCACCCCACTATACAAACTGCTCTTGAATTCCAGCACACCGTCCACTCTTCTACAACCACGTCTTCGACTCGCCGTCTGTACAAGAACCACATGTTCCTTATTCAATCTCTGAACATATCCAGTAGTACAGTAACGTCAGGCTCCTCTGCGCCGGCACAACCTAAAGCATTTCCCTACTCTACGGCGATGCGAACAGAAATTGACCCTTTCGTCGTCTGTGCCACGATTAAGTCGTGGTCATACGAAATGTCATCCTTGACTGTATCAACCAGTTTGGCCCTGGGATGAACATCTAACACCATGTATGCGCACATGATGTAAAGCTCACAGTATGCCAGTTGTTCGCCAATGCAGGCGCGACTGCCTTTTCCAAACGCAATCAGCTTCTTTTGCAGCGAATAGTTCTGCGTACCATCCTCCAGTAGCCAACGTTCAGGAAGGAATTCGTCTGGATCGGGGAAAAGCTCAGTGTTCCAGTGGTTGATCATGGACGTCATGCCGATGGGTGTGCCTCGTGGAATGACAAAGTCCGTCTTGCCGTCTGCCGAAATATAGTGCAAGTCCTCTTCGCGCGCAATTCTGGCCGATCGATGCGATACTCCAGGCATCATGCGCAGACACTCCTGCAACACGGCCCAGAAATAAGGAACCTTTTCAAGCTCAACCCATTTCAGATTTTGTGTGCTAATACCGGCTTGTGCAAGGTCAGATGCCAACCTTTGGTTGATCTCTGGCTTGGCGAGGGCCCAGTAGGTGAAGACGGTGAGAATGGCCTAGAACGAGGTTAGTACTGCTGCGTTTGTGATCAGCTCCTCAAACCTAATTCAACTTACACCAGTGGTTTCAGTACCTGCAAGCAGGAAATTGAAGCCCTCGCCGTTGTACCTGTATTTCTCTTCTTCCGACATTGACTTATCTTTACCCATGACTTCGGCAAAAACACGTCCGTTATCGGGATTTTTCAGCGCCTGCGCGATGTACTGGGGAATTGTCACATTCATGACCTTCATGACTGCCTTGATATCTTCGCCTAGATAATCAGCCATGAAGGGAAGGACTTGGGCCATCTTGCGGCCCAAGGCATTGTGGCGCATCATGTAAGCGCTCTTGAAGAATGACTTGACCCATGTAGCGAAGTTGGGCTCCCAACCTTCTTGCGCCACAAACCCCATGGGCTCACCAAAAGCATACTGAGAGATGACATCGGCTGTGTAGCAGTTGAACGCTTCCTTGACATCAAATGCACCCTTGCCGGCTGACCGGAGCATCTTCTTTGCGACCATGGATGCGAATTCGTGCACCTCGCCTTCTAACTTCAGCATCTGCTGACGCGAGAAGAACTTGTTCAGCGGCGCCCTTCGCGCACGATGCAGATCGTGGTTAACCGTAGAGAATCCAGTCACCGAGACTGGCCCAGCCCCACCAGTGTTCAGTTGGTGCTGCCATTTGTCACGAACATGTCCCGGTCCAGCGTAGATCTCGTCGGTAAAGGCGGGGTCGGAGCAGTGTAGTTCGTCGGGGTTGATGCGTACAATTGGGCCGTACTTCTCGTGCATACGCGAGATGACTTTGCCATAGCGCCCGACAAGCCACCAGTCGTAGTAGGCTTCGTAGAGGTAGGATGCAGCAGCAATCTTTGGGCCTGGGAATCGAGATAGGGGGTGAAGAGGCGAGATGTTGTAAAGCGCGATTGCGATTCGATAGCCGATCCAGGCTACAACCAACCACATCACACTCGCAAAAGAAAAGATTGATGTCTGGCCTTGGACCACGCCGGATTGCTGGTCCATGGTGATGTTTTCGGTGACTTGACAGCGCCCAGCCTGCACAGTAACGGGAGCAGATGCAGGACGACGTTCTGACGAGGTCGACTCCTAATATTATGAATGCTCCTGACTGACACTTACATATGCCACATCAGAGCCGATCCCCTCCTTTTCGGCGTCGGTGGCTCTTTTTTACCAATCAACCCTTGGCAATAAGAGGAGTAGCGCACATTATTCAAATATTTTGCACTTTAGTAAGCTCCACTAATTGCACAATTGGCCTTCGCGTCATTGGTGCCCCAAGTTCCTTGCCGTGCCACATGGGAGAGCGTTGCACTATGCGGGTGGGGCTGCACCCACTTCCGCCCGCGGCAGAGCTACCCAAATACGAGGCTCGAGTCAATGGTCTTGGGGATTCCCTGGACAGCTCCATCGAGTCCCCCCTCGTCCCACACGTTCTTGGATGGAGCTGAAGAATTGTCTCGCCGACCACATCCCGAGAAATCTTGCAGACCATGGACCTGGCGAGAGAGAGAGAGAGAGAGAGAGAGAGAGGAGAAGATGCAAAGTAAGCATCTTGAATTTGGGGTTAACTACTCCTTTGGACCCCCCTGCCTCCAAAACAGGGCGGGAGCTGACTGCCGACGCCCAGTAGAATGGAGCTGGGTTGATTTTATTTCCCCCAAGCGCAGGCGCTACGGGTTGCGTGGGATAGAGTTAAGGCGCGCGATATGCCATCTTGGCACTGTGGATTCGCGCCTGACCTAGATGGTTTCAGCGTTGCGAGCAGCCTCGTCTTGTCTACATCGAGTCACTGACAGCGGCTTGGCCTCGTATTCTGACAATGTGGGACAAACCGAGATGGGCGGCTCTACTTCGCTTGCACTGAGATCGCCAATGCATTCGCTGGACGCGATTGCGCTTGTTCCGTTGCGGACAACCCGAAAGCACCTGAACAGCAATCATCCCGTTCTCCTGTCGACATTAGTGGCAAGGATTATACGCAACATACCCACTATTTACTTTGACGGAACGCTATCGGCCCGTTGCTTCCTTCGCCTAGCCGGTCCGTGTTGTTATGTTCCGAATCCTTCAAGCAACGACAGGAGGCGACAGCATGGATCAAGTTTTTAACACTATCCCAGTGCCCCCAACATGTTGTTCCTTTTGTTCGCCGCCCTTTTGTCCGTTCAGCCCACTATCACGGGCTCCACTCCATTTATACAGTGTCTTGTTTAGTATTGCTGCTTACTTGTGACACGACTCTATCAGATCTGTGCGTCACGGCCACAAGACAAGATGACAGAGGTGATCGAAATACCGATGGCGAGGAGCGGCCGTGACTCAATGATAGCAATGTCGTTTTTGTGGTTGCTCGCTGCGTCAACAGTTGCTTTCCGCATCTATGGGCGTGTGAAAGGACCCGGATTGTCACTGGATGACATCTTTGCAGGTATCGCGATGGTATGCCGCAAGTCTGTAATGACCATTAGAGCCTCGGCTGACTTTATTTAAGGTTCTAACCACAAGCACAATCGGTCTCAATGCTGAAGGTGAGAAATTCTTATTCAACAAGCATCGACAGTATGGCTAACATACTACCTAGTCTTTACCAGTGGTGTGGGCTATGATTTTGACAAAAACAACGCAGAAATGTTTCCCAAGCGTGAGTTGAATGCGATACGAGCATTTCGATGCATTGGCTAATCCTGGAATCCAGTTATGAACAATCTTCCACATATCATGCAGTTGACCTTCGCCTACACCTTGATATACATTTGGTGCTTGGCCGCTCTCAAGCTCTCTCAACTTGCTCTCTACCACCGCGTGTTTGCGCTCCAACTTCGCATTGCGGTATACATCGTCGGCGCTATCGTAGTAGCCTGGGCCATCATCTTCAACTTCGTCTTCATATTTCTATGCGATCCCATCTCCCAGCAATGGACTGTAGAACGGGTCGGACACTGTTTGGACCAGATGCTTTTGCTCAAGTTTTTGATTATAACAAACATGGTAACGGATCTCATGATTGTAGCTCTACCAATCCGGGCTGTTTGGCAGCTACAGATGCGAAAGACTGAGAAGTTCGCTGTATTGGCTTGTTTTGGGCTGGGCCTGGCTTGCGTATTCATCGGCATTGCTCGCTTTGTGCTCATTTACACAATCGGTAAGCCAAAATTCTCTTTTTCACTAGCAGTACAGCGTACTGACGGATTACAGATCTCATCGGTAACCTCACGGGAACTTCCGGCACTACGTTCATGTTGTGTACTGTCGAGTTGATGCTAGCTTGTCTGTGTATCAATATTCCCATGCTACGGCCCTTTTATCTGCGATGGCGCACACATTACAAGGGCTCCTCGATGAGCAGTAGTGGTCTCAAGAGTGGGCCCAAGAGATCAGCTACTGGAGGGTTGAGTGGGTCGCAACAACAGCGACCGGGCCACTATACACAGTGGATGGAGTTGGTAAGTTGGACCGCATTCGCGTATCTCCGCATACGAAATGAGAGTAGTACAGAGGCTGATGACTTGAAGCATGACAAGGATACCGTAACTGCCACCGTCACCGGCGACGATGCGAGTTCAGAGAGGAAGCTCACGGCAGATCCTATGCCGTTTGATGCCATTCAGGTGTCCAAAGACTTTACCATTACGCGGGATTGAACAAAGCTCTGCCTCAAAATTCCCGGCGCATATCAAAGTGAGACTATGGTCATCACATCTTAAGATCCAAACCTCTACAATCGCCTTTCTCAGCATTATACCCACATCGTCCGTTTATGGGAAGACATGATATTTGGCAGGTTCGTGAAATAACGACTTCAAAAGTTTTATACCCAACACATCGGGTTTCGAGTTTTTCTGTAGCGTTGGAGGGAATGATCCATGCACAAAAAGGAGAAGAAAAGTGCAAGCTTCGGCCACGGCAGACGTCACTCGTTAAGATGGAATAGAAGATAATACCCGATACCCAAAGATCACAAGTCACGACATCTCCATCTACCAAGTCAATCCTCATATTTCGTATTCTCCCATCGCCCCAAAGCCAAACATGTGATCCGTTCGCATCCTAGCATCACGCGGTATCTACCTCGAACCGCTCAAACTTTACATCTATATTTTCGTGCCCAATGGCAAAAACACCGAAAATAGGTCCTACAAAGTCTTTGCCACTAAGGTCCCTCGCATCTACACTGGCTACTTCGTCGCTCTCTCCCGCATCATCCAGTCTGTATGAGATTTCGTACTTCATCTCCGTATACGGAGGTGCCTTTCAAAAGTTCTGTCTGCCAAGAATAATCTAGCCAAAGTACGGCCGCCTTAGCCAAGGCTTGTCTCTTCCCTCTATATACTTATTACTACCTTATAGCTTAATAATCTTTTAAATATATATAAG